GTGATTGGATGCTGATATTGATGGTATTAACTAGCAGTTATCTACGGCCTTGCTGCTCCAAGTATGTACCACGGACCAGCAGGGTCTGTATTACCTGGGAGCTTCTTCGAGATGCAGACAGACCCCCACCTTGGATGCCCTGAATCTAAACCTGCATCCCCGCAGGTGCTCAGGGGATACCTCTGCACACTACAGGCAATGCCGACAAGTGTTCACACAATTAGCCCCAGTATGAGTCTCATTCCCTACTGGGCTCCCACCCAATCAAAAACTCCAAACAGTTAAAAAATATATAACTTGTCTTACTTGAATTACTCGATTAACCTGACTTTCCCTTTGCTTAGGTTAAACTAATGGGTTAATTTTACAATTCAGAAAAAAAATTAAAACAAATCCTCCAGAAAAAAGGGCTTATTTAGTTTCAGGAGAGATTAGAGTATTTTATTTTTGCCCAATCAGAGCCCTTCAGCATAAAGAGACATTCATATACATATATATGAACATTTTCCAGAAACATTAATTTATAGTACATTTTTAAAATACCAGCTTCATGGTATTTATTTACAAAAATATTTCATTACCTAATTTTAAACCTTTTGCTGTGATGACAGTTTGTAAAGTACAGGAATGCAAAATAACTACAAAGTTTAACACATTTTTAGTGTTTGCAATAGTGCCTTCTGGATGTTTTTCAAAATGAAATAGTACACAGAGGTGGGTCGTTTTGTTTTTTTTTTAAAACTGTACTTAAAATGCATATTCCAGCAATCACCTTTGAGATAGTTACTGGACTGAGCAAGATACATATCAACATAAGTAGGTCAAGGGCAGCAACGAAACACGAACTGCATGTACAGCTTCAGGTCTGCACAGGCTAGAGCGCTACACCAAGCATGCGGGCCTGCGTGAGAGGAAAACCAAGTCTTGCTCTCCGTAGTATTGTTTTGGTGACGCATTCACAAGGAACCAATAGTGTAACTAGAAAGCAAAATGTTTTTCTGGTTCTAACTACCATGTTAAGCAGAGGTCACACCTAAAGTACCACAGTACCATTTATTTACAAAAAAAAGGTAATTAAAAAATTTAAAACATGATTTACCCTCTTTGCATTGTTTCCTGTTGGTATGAGTCTGTTGTCCACTCCTTACATTGTCTTCAGGTGAAGCGAAGTTCAAACAACACAAAACACATAGCAAAAGTACTTTTTAAAAATGAAACTCCCAAATAAATAGGATTCCATGGCCGTTTGCCTATATCCATTGGAGATGCCTGAGTTGGACAACCTACAATACTGGTTTACTCACATGTCACACATGATAAAAGTTAGCTTTGACCATGGAGCTCATGGTGGAATACTGGCAAAACTGACATCCATGATTTTTCTGATATAGAGTGTAACAAAAAAAGCAATTCAATTCGGTCCTGGACTACTGTACTCAACTTGTAAGTGAGCTAATAATTTTAGATTGTATTAATAACTGAAGAAAGCAATGTTATAACCCCGATTATTGGGAAGTTATTCAAACTATTTAATTCATCTGAGAAAGGTAAGCTGAAGTTTTCCCTTTAATTTTTGTTGTTGTTACAACTATTTTCTGCCAAGGGACCTTTAAAATGTCTGTGGTTAAGTAGTTAAGATCGTTAACTATTCACAGGAAAAATAATCCCCATAGCACTTTACAAGAAATCGGTTGGAGTGATGAAACATATAATCAACAAAAGCTGTAAACAGCATCTTCACATTCATTTTCAAATTAAAAATAATTATGGGCATGAATTTCAATCCAACAGAACAAAGATCCTAAATGGGAAAAGAAGAAAAAAGGACACATACGATATAGGAGTGCTCTTTTTCAAACTAAATACAGATTAAAAATTCTAGGAATATTGATCAGGTATCAAACTGATAAGGAACAAAGTCTATAAACTACAAAATAAAAACCTTCATTGACAAAAATACATAAACTCTGTTTTCATTTTTGGAAATTTATTTTTAAAAAAGGTAGAAGAAAATACCTGGAAAACTATTTTAAATATATATATATTTTAAAACAATAGGTAAGGTAAGCATCCGACAGCAAGCTGAAGCTATTGAGAAAGATTTTGCAATGATTGTTGTGGGTACTTTCCCCAAAATAAAATTAGCATTTGAAAACGCTCAATAGAGGGTTTTAAAACCATAATAGTAATATCTTTCCTGTCACGTGTGAAGACTTCTGAATGACGTATGATACTTTAAAATTAATTGTATCTCGATATGAGATACCAGTATTTCTTATTATAAGCGTAAAACATAACTTTTTGTATGGATAATATACATACTTTTTAAGTACTTCGACTTAAACTTAACAAGTTCACCATTTTTTAAATTAAAGAGTACATTTATAAAAATTCCATTTTAAAACTAAAAGTATATTCTCTAGCAGTATGTATAAATATAACATGTTACTGTGTGATCTGAAAACAAATCTGAAAGTGTTGCAGAAATTTAAAACCTAGAACACCGGAACATAGAGCAAATGATTTACTACACTTTACGCTTGAAAACTATATAAAAACCTATGAAAGGTTTCAAAACCATGATCGGTTTGATTGTTTCAGGTGCAGCTAGCAGCATATTCATGATTTTGGTATGTTTTATACATATGAATCACTTGCTTGGAACTGAGAAATGTGGATTAAATGATGATAAAAAGTTTTCGTTACCTAAAAAAGTGCAGAAAAAATTCAAGTTTAAAGTTCAGTGCTCTTTATTTTGAAAAACCAAATCAACAAAACCCCAAAAGTTAAAATGTAAAATAAATCTTTGCCACAAAAAAATTTACCTTTGGATATAGCTTTTCTGATGTCACGTGAGAAAAATACCTCAAGCAAAATGTATATGGAATATAGAACTCAGGGTAAAACTTTGAACTCCATGGTGTGTCTTCCACACGTTTTTCCTTTTCTCAGCTGTCTCCCCACCACCCTTTGGAACCTAAAAGTATGTAACACTTTCAGACTTGTTTAAAACACTCACAATATCTACATGAAATAACTTCAGCGGTACCTACAATTAAGAAGTTCTAAGCAAAAGAAATGCTTCTTTCTTTAAAGTACTGTATTTAATTCAACTAATATACTACATATAACATAGACAAGTAGCAGCATTTTTTTCACATCCACATAAAAATCAAATTAAGTTAGCAATAGCTCAGTTTTATATCCATAACCATTTTTGGAAACACTTTGTACAACTGAAATGCAAACCGAGGGGATTAAGATGATGCAAAACTTCAAATGGCTATAATATACAGAATCTGTCAGAATGTAAGATTTCAATTAACATTCTAAGCAAACACATTTGGATTTTAGTCTGAAGAGTGAAATGAACTGGGTATGTGATACATGGAAGGAAACCACTTCCAATTCACAAACTGCTAATCAGTGAACACTTCTGTGATTTTAGAGCCAAGGACCAATGCGAGGAAGCACACGTGATCTTTCCTTTTTCTAGTATTTTCTACTTTGACTTTTTTGGTTTGTTTTCCTGAAATCTTGGCCTGCTGGTGACTATTTCTGCATTTAAAAAGAAAAAATAGAGATGTCATCTCTCAAATTACAATAAATTCCCTGGGTTAGTTATTCCTGCAGACTGTCTCTTATCTACAGACTGAATCAAGTATAACCTCGAGAAGTTTATTTCCTATTTTCAAAAATACTTAAGCTTTCTAATCCTAAGTTTCCAGTGTGCTGTGCATAATTTGTAGATTAATTTAAAAATGAAATAAAATAACCCAAAATACTGATTTAAAATTTTCTTATAAAATCCATCTCAGGTAAACGCATCTACTTCTGTATTTGAAAATAATTACAAGATTGGTTCGTTTTATATACAACAGGAAAAATGACAGTAAAAAATGAAGTTGATATACAATTAACACAACACAGCAAATTAAATAATTACAACTAATATGCCCTTCCACATGAATGAGTAATCAACCGATATATCACTTTATTTAGGGCTTCTCAGCTTCCAGTCTGTAACTATACCTTTAAAAAAGGTACTAATACTTCCTGTGACATATGGAACAATGGGTTTATTAGGTAATATACAATACAAATTAAGCCATTTGTAAATGGCTGGATGTTCATCATACAACTGACATCAATGAAACAGAAATATGTTATTAATAGATACTTTCTACAAATTCAAAAACTTTTGAAAAGTACTGCATTTTTAAAATATTTCTTTTGGCTTGATCAATGATCTCTATCAGATATATTTAGTCCCTCTCTGATGACATTAAAGAAAATTTTAATGTAAACTTCTGTATCCGTAGTGCACGCCGTACAATGTAAACAAAAGGCTTCGCTGATGGACAGAGGAAAAGGTGCAGGACAGACTGCGTGAAGCGAAGGTGTTCTGCAGGGACGGACCTGTGGTGACCCCACGGAGCAGGAAAACCACCACCGTGTTTGCTATCAGGTTGTGCTCTGATTGTCTCCATGAAAAAAAGAAAATGGTTTTAAACAACTTTTTAAAGAAGAAAATGTTTCAATTTCATTGAGAGTAACGCTTCTGTTTTGCTCTTCCTATGTCACTTTAACAAGGATCAAGGATAACCTCAGATGCCTGTGTTAGGAGATTACTTATTCCCAAGGTTTACGGAGCTCTCTTTCCTGTCTGCAATGCTATTTTAGGAACCAATCACTTCTTGTCCTCTGATGGTCTCATTTGCATTATCTTCCAATACAGAAATAATTTAGTTACAAAAATGCACGTATTTTCCTTTCCTTTGGCTTCTTAAACCTTGAAAGGACGTGTATAGTATATTTCTACAGAAAATATTTTGTAGGTCAACAGACTAGATTTTATATAGATAACTGTTGACAAGAGATGCTTGTGATTTCCCATGCGGCAGCATGTGCGCTAAGACTGAATCAGCTCATCACCTGAGCTGTTAGCAAATCAAGGGCATTTTAAAAAGGGAGCTGAGCACTTGACTGAAATAATGAAACAATTTTTAAGCAATTTTAATTAAATAATGCAAAGGTACATTTGGTTAAACATTTTATAAAAATTCAAGCAAAATTAAAAACTTAGCCAATTTCAACTTTTCTACAAATGTAACCAGTAACTATTTTGGGCAAATCCACCTGGAGCTGAATGAATGAGAACAAGGACGGGGACACTGAAGTTTCTCCTCACCACAGGGAGGCTCTTCTCACTTCCCACACTGCGGAGCCACATGGCAACTCCCCGGATGGTGAGCAGTTCAGTCATGCTCTACACTTTTCTTTTCAATGAAAAGTGATGGATCGCCTTGTTTTGCTTTTGACAAAATATGGACTAAACACAAGTATACAGAACAAGAATCCAAGAGTAGCCCATACACGAGTCAACTATGTGTATGTTTTTATTGTTTAAAGCCCACCACTCAGCGTATCCGTCTAGAGAAATGGTAACGAACAGTTTGTTTCGTTTTCACTGATGACACTGGTGACCGGTGGCGGAAGGCAGGGAAAGTCCACGACAGCTGCGCGCAGTTCAGTGGGCGGTTCGGACGCCGCGTTCCAGCTTCCGCACTCCCGACGCGCAGCCTGTCCCTCGGGGGTCAACACTGATGGCCGCGGACACACAGCACGGACCGTGTGGCCTGTGAAAGCTCAATGCCAGACTGACCCGGGGAGGGTCCCTGCGGCGTCCCTCAACGTCCCGCCTCGGTTCTTCGTCTGTAACGTGTGACCTGCGTAGTTCCCAAACTGTCACCCCACAGCTGGCATGCCCCTCGGTTACAGCCACGTGCCTGGAAACAACAGTGCGTGGTTGTGCTAGGAAAGAGCAGCAGCCGGTGATGGACGGCCTTCAATGTTAACTTTCCTGAAGTAAAATCAATGAAATAAATAAGGAAAATGCTTTTTCCTTTTGGCTTAAGTTGGACTGAGTTGGACTTCTGGGGGTCAGAACTGGTACCACTTCTTATCTTTGTATTTCAGCATCATCTAAAGGAGAGAAAACACGAAAAGCATGTTTTAAAAAAATGACAGAACAGTATCTGTAAGTTGTAACCAAATTTCTCTATTTTTCCAAAACACTGTATCATTCTGAAACATTCGTAGTGTTACTGTATTGCTTACTTCAAATCAGTGAAAGCAGGAAGAACTATTTCATTTAGAGAAACAAAGTCCGTCACTATGAAGAACCAGCCCAGCCCCTGGCCAGACAGCTCAGTTGGTTAGAGCGTTGTCCTGATACTCCAAGGTTGTAGGTTCGATCCCCAGTTAGGGCACATAAAAGAATCCACCAATAATACACAGAACAACATAAAAAAATCAATGGCTTACTCCTCCCTCTTTCCTCCTTCCTTGCTCTCTAAAATCAATAAATTAAAAAAATTTTTTTTAAAAACAGACCCAGCCTAGAAGACCCTCACATTTCTTAGACACACGACATAATTAAATTTTGGCTCAGAATGTTCTTTGGTGACTTAAGCTAATGACTTACAAATAAGGTAATTTTCAGTTCTCTAATTTTTACTAAAAACAGTGCTTAAAGAACATGGAAATGAAGGTTAAAACTACCATTCCTGCTGTCCAGAACTGACAGAGCATTTCTTCCAAGTCCACACTGTGTGGCGCCCTTTCTCCACATGATTTCATTTGGTTCTCAGAACAGCTCCATGAGTTAGGGAATATTATTCTCTCCCTTTTACAATGAAAACACTGAAGCTAAAGGGGTTACCCCAACCAACACAATGGTGAAGCCGGGGTTCGAGGCCAGGTTGTCTGATTCAAGAACCCACAATCCTACCCAACTCAATGTACTATCCTCCTCAGACTCTAAAATACGACTCAAGAATATCTGGTAGAAGAGAAAAGCCAGCAGGTCGAGACTGAACTCTTTGCTAAATATTCAGAGAGTGGATATAGTGACTGAAGTGTTATATGCTTTGGAGATCAGTCGGGTGCAGGGTTATGCCGACCGAATCCTGTCCGAGATCGAGGGCTGCTAGGCAATCCTGGAGCCGTGTGTCTGCCAGTACCAGGACCAACAAAAGACCTCTGAATCTCTTTGAAGCCCTGGACACAAATCTTCAGGTCAAGTTACCTCTTTTATGCACTGTAGGTATCAGCGTTTTTGAGCAAGAAAGAGATGACTTTTGATTGAAAAACATACAGAAGAGCCCTGGCTGGTGTAGCTCAGTGGATTGAGCTCGGGGTTGTGAACCAAAGGGTTGCCAGTTCGATTCCCAGTCAGGGCACACGCCTGGGAATCAGTGGTCTCGGTGGGGACCACGCGAGAGGCAACCATACACTGATGTTTCTCTCCCTCTCTTTCTTCCTCCTTTCCCCTCTCTGAAAAATATGCAGAAGATCTGTTGCTGCTGGATTGGGTTTTCAAACATAAAGGTGTGAGTTTTTCAGACAACAAACTCGAAGTGTCCTCAAGGTGCAGGCGAGGAAATGAGTGTGTGACACAGTCCAGTGTGAAGACCAAGGGCCGGCAGACCTGTGAGCTGCGATGAAAAGTGTGTGTGCTACCCGAAGGCCTCAATTCAGTTTCGTTTTCTTTAAAGATTTTATTTATTTACTTTTAGAGAAAGGGGAAGGGAGAGAGAAAGAAAGGGAACGAAACATCAATGTGTGATTGCCTGTCGTGTGCCCCCAACTGGGGACCTGGCCTGCAACCCAGGCATGTGCCCTGACTGGGAATCAAACTGGCGACCCTTTGGTTCACAGGCCAGCACTCAGTCCACTGAGCCACACCAGCCAGGGCTAAATTTCGTTTTTTAAGTGCACTGTGCTGGCCACAGAGCGTATTTGTAAGAAGACCAGTTAGGGAGCCATACTTTACAGAAGCCCTTTCTAACCTCCACCGTGATTTCCCAGTTCATCCGGATGAATCCACTGCAAAGACACATCTTACTACTCCTCTGTCTGAAATGGTCCACAGAAAGATACAGACAGTCTGCTGTTGGAACCAAAGTGTTTGCCAATTGTAGTAACTTAGATCTACCTAAAGAGTCAAGAGAGGGAAACTATTTCCTTCTGAGGGAGAAAACTGGTGGTAGAATGTGAGGCATTTAGGAAAGAGCCTTGTTACTAAATTCCTAAGAAACAGTTGCAAAGAAAAAGCCTGGAGGTGAGCAGGCTCCCTCGGACTGATAAGCCTCGGTAAGAGACCAAAGCTACTGAGACATTCTTGTAATAGTTCCCTCTAGTGGCAAAAATTGGGAATTTGCAATTGTATGGAGAATGCACACTCATGCACAGATATAAAAACACTATGAAAATACAGTATTTTCATACTTGTTCTAATGAGGTTTCTTTGTTTGAATACTTGTTTGGTAGACATACCTCGTGAGCATGTTTAGAAAATGAATCTGCACTGGACAGCATCGCTGCGGTTCTTTCTTCCAGGTCGCCCAGTTTCTGCCCCCTCTCGTCTAGTGCCAGCCTGGCTCGTGCCAGTTCACCGACGACTCCGGATGCTGCTCCCTTCACGCCTTCGATGCCACCAGGACCAGGGATGTGCTGTGCAAGACTTCTTGAAGCCTTTCCTGAGGAAGATTCTCCAACTGAATGAATTGATGAGAGAGTAACTCAAAAAACGAAAATTTTACTAATGTAAAAGCCCACCAACTGATAGCACTACATTTTTTACACTGAATGACGATACAACTGAAATATTTATATATTTCACTTTATAATTAATGCATGTTTTCTTTGATCATATGGTTTTAATTTTTAGACACTTTTTCAAACATGCAAAACACAGTGCACATTATAAACATTGGACTCCATGCACAACAGGACTTGTGCAAAGAAGGGACTGGTCACTATTTATTGGAATGAATAATGGGTATACAGATACCAGTTTGTACAACAGGAGAAACCGCTAAGTGTGGAAAAAACTGAAGATAAATTAATTTAAATATATTTAAATAAAGTATACAGGTTTACATTTTAATATACAGATTTAACTGAGCTTATTTACTCCATGCTGTGTCTTACTTAAAAGACTATGCTTAGGCTTAGAAGAAAAATGAAGAATTTATTCAGTATTCTATTTTAGGCTCCGAAAGTTAGGTATGTTACATCCCTTTCTTTCTCTCCGTTTACCTTGTCACTCACCAAAGATCAAATGTTTCACTCCAAAGACCTCAGGTATTCACAGCTTCCCCTCCCCTGGTCACGCAGACTAACTACCTAAGCAGCTGGAGGACCGCCAGTTGGATTCTGTTCCAGACCGCTGTCCCACTGCCTCTCCCCCCGCACTCATTTCTTCCATGAGAAATAGAATTCACATACCATAAAACTTGCTCCTTAACAATCCCCTCATTTTTAGTTTATTCAAAAGGTTGTGCAACCATCATCAGTATCTATTCCTGAGCATTTTCATCACTACAAAAAAAAGCCCAACTTTATCAGCAACCAATTTTCACTCTCCCTCTTCTCAGGCCTTAGCACTCAATTCTCTCCTCTACTTTCTTGTTCTGAACATGTCACATAAGTGGATTCACATAGCGTGCAGCATCTCGGGCCTGTCTTTCCAAAGCACTATTTCCTATATTTTCTGACACTCTATAAAAAATTGATTTTTCTCTTTTTCATCCTTTTTCTTTACAGTTCTTCTGGAGTGGTGGGAAGGCTTATTTCTCCATTTGTCTAAAAATGTCTCATTCTTGACAGATGTTCTCAGTATAGAATTCTAGATTAAGTATTATCTCTGTCAATGGACAGAATAATGCAGGCCGTTGAGAAGTCAGTCTCCTGCTTGTTAAAAGATATCTATTATTTTTTTGTAAGCCACCTCACAGATGTTCTTTGTCTCTGACACAGTATATGTATAATGTGTACATGATATATACATTATATTATACACTGTATAATATATACTATATGTACACTATATAATATACACTATACTATATATACTAGTGTTATATACTACATAATATAATGTATACATATGAATTACATATTCATGTAATATATCTAGCTGTAAATTTATAACAAACTATCTTTCCTGGAATTCAACAGGTTTCTTGAATATGTGAACAGATATTTTCTACCAATTCTGAAAAATTTCTAACCATATTTCTTTATATATAATTCTTCTTCATGTCCTTTCCTGTTTCTTTCTTGAGAAGGTCTAAATATATATTAGATCTTTTCCCTGCAGCTCTATTTCTTCAATTCTCTCTGTTTTTACATCATTTGTTTCTGTATGCTACACTCTGGATGGTTTATTTGAACCAATCTTTAATTTATGTAATTCTCCATCAGTTTTGCCTTATTTGTGGTCAAATTCATCCAGTAAGTTTAATTTTGCTTTTTGAGTATTTTAGTTCTCCAATTTCACCTTCGTTTTTTATACATTTGTTGTAATGATTTTTAAAGGTTTTAGTTATTTGATAAATTGTTCAGGCATGGTACTTATCCTCTTGAATATAATATGCATAATTATTTTGTAGTCTATATATGATAATTCCAATATTTAAACTACCTATTATTCTCACTGTTTTTTGTTTTATTGATTATAGTGTTTATTTCTAGGGTTCCAGGTTATTTATGATAATATTTGAAAAATTATTTCTAGAAATCATTTGAGTTCGTGGACATGTCATTTCCTTTGCAGGACATTTTCATTTGTTTCTACCATGTGCTGGGGACTTGAGCAGTCTGCAAAAATCTTAACTAAGGTTGAAAGTTTTTTGGCCATTCGAATAATCTGAAGCTGAGCAGAAAGCCTGTGTGTGTGTGTGTGTGTGTGTGTGTGTGTGTGCGCGCGCGCGGTGCTTATTCACTTCTAGTCCATCTGACTCTTCAGGTGTGGCCCTTTGGCATCCTTGGAAAGAAGGGGATTTGTTTATCAGTGTCCTCACCATTGTCAGTCTGGGACCCCATCTTGCAAGTCCTACCCAAGTTTAGTATCTCAGTCTCCCACAGCACAATCTCAAAACACTTCAGGGTAAAAGTGGCCTTGGGTTGCCAAACTCACCACTGGGTTTCCGCTCTTCCCCAGGTACTGTCACTATATTGTTAGCTCTCTGGTGCTTCCAAACGTCTAAACATGTTGTTTTTAAAGTTTGTATAGTTATCCTCAGTAAGATGGTTATTCCAAATTACCAGTCCTCCACGACTTGCAGTCTTCAGTTTTTAAAATGAATTAAAATGGACTAATCCTAATTCATGTAGGTAAGTTTTTAAAAATAACATTGTAATGTAGTGCAGAGCGGTACAATGTTATTACTGGTATTTAATCTTACAGTCTTTTCTAATTAAACACAAAGGCAAAGTTCTAAAATATTTAGGAAAATAAGAGAATAAAAGAGAAGAAATTCAAGTACAGGTAATAGCTCCTACTACTTAAAAGACAAGTCATTCACTGATTCATTGGATCACTCAGTGCAATTTCTAATGTGTTCCCATTATGTGGAAGGTAGTAAATGAGCCACATTTTCTTATTTTAAATAAGCTTCTAATGCAACGAGAATACTTCTGGAGATTTCGTAAGATGCTATAAGTGCTTAAGTAAAAACTTCTCCAAAATTAAGGTAATGGGATTACAGGTCATCGATGAAAATAGTAATGATCACCGTTAATAAAAACACTTTCTAAACTATTCACATCAAGCTGTGAATACTCGTTTTAGCTGCCTGAAACTCTATTCTGATTTTGGTTCCCTGAATAAAATAATCCCCCGAATTGCGTTGGAGCAACAGAAAATAATTTCGTGTATTTTGCTAAAACATGGATACGTTAATTATTGTGACAAAGACAAAAAAGGTGAAATAATATATATACGTAAAATATTATATGGCTTGAATGTTTTAAGATATATTACACAAATTAGATGAATCGACTTACACAGTTCTTCTCTGTCGAGAGATTGTGCACCACCTCCAAACAGGCCTTTGAAGAACCCCCTGTTCGGTGCTTCAGGTGTTTCTACGGGAGTGAAGAGTTCACCCAACATTTCCTTTAAAATCAACACACATTGTAGTTGTTAAAGTTTCAGGAAACTCAACTGTGACTCACAAAACCATCACTGCAAGCTCTTTAACTTAAGCTTATAACATTACCTATTGAGATTCAGAAATAATTAAGAGCACATTTCAAATGATCAGACCCAATACATACTGACTTAGTCCAACAGTAAGTTATTAAAACTTGTTTGACTAAGACTGACCTGCTGCTTGCCATTTTGGCTACATAATTTTCCTTACATTTAAAACAAAGATGATATTCCTGCTTAAACCAGAGACTCCAATCTTTGACAAAATTTTCAAGTAACTTTTGTTATTATTTAGAATTGGTAACTTGATTGATAATTAGCTTCTCCTACATTAGAAAGAAGAAAAGTTATTACCAAGATAAAAGTCCAGTGTGATGATGAAATGCAGTCTTGAATTTACCACCTTCAACTGAGTCAAAAAATTAATATTTTTTAAATTTAATAATTAGAAAGACACACCAACTTATTTTTTCATAAACATATGCTAGGAAGACAATTATGACAATATAGACATAGAATTTCAGAAATACAGCTGAGAGATGGGAAGGCTTCTTTCTATATTGTCAGTTTTTTGAATCACTGTCAGTGTTATTAATCTAACCACTGACATGATAAAAGTTGGAGACAAGAAAGGTTACTAACATGTTATTGACTTTGTAGATAACTCAGAGAGAGGAAAGAGAAGGACATTAGCGACTTTATTTCCAAGATTGCTTTGAAGAGCTTTAGAGGCAAAATAAAAGTATACTGAGGCTGTGGGGTTGCATTTCTGCCCAAAGAAGAGCAGTAGCCACTATACAAAACACACACACAGTCTAGGTTCCCAGTGCCAGTCCTGCTGTACTCTGGCATTACATTATACTGGAGCTAAAGTTTTGTTTGTTTGTTTGTTTTTAGTTTCTTCCTGAGGGCTGGACTAAAGAAGTTCAGAAACAGAACTAGTATTATTTCTTCCTAAAATGTTTATAGAATTCACTAGTGAAGTTATCTGGGCCTGAAATATTCTTTGCCAAGGTTCCTAACCTCAATTTCTGTTACTCCAATAGACACAGTAGGTGATCTTCAGGTGATCTGTTTTTCCAATAGATCTTCAGGTGATCTGTTTTTTCTTAGTGAGCTTTGGTCACGTGGGTCTCAGAGGAAATCTGTCCATTTGTATTTACAATCTACTTTTTAAGTTTATTGGTATACTTCCATTTTAATATTTGTAGAATCTATAGCAAGGTCACTTCAATCATTCCTGACACTGGTGATTTGTAACTTCTCTTTATAATCAGTCTGACTTGAGATCAATTTTATTGGTTTCAGAGATCAAGCTTTCAGTTTCACTGATTTTTTCTACTGTTTCTGTTTTCAACTCAATGATTCCACTTAAATATTATTTTTCTTTATTCTGCCGGCTTTGAGTTTAACTTGTTCTTCATTTTCTATTTCTTAAGGTGGAATCTGAGGTACTGGATTTGATGAGAATTTCTTTTCTAATATGTTTTAGTGTTATGAATTTGGTAAGTTTAAATACTCAGTTTTTCTTCTATTGCTATACTTTCAAGTTACCTAATCTTTTCTTCTACACTAGATACTCCGTTATAATTCCACCCAACATATTCTTCATTTCAAACACTGTTTTTCATCCCTAGATGTTCAATTTTGGTCTTTTAGAGCTTTCATTCTTTTTTGAACACAAAGAATACAGTTATAACTGTTTTAATGTTCTTCTGGACTAACTCTAACATCTGTGTCAGTTCTGGCTTTGTTTCTACTGATTGCTTATTCTTCTCTAATGGTCTTGCTGTCCTGTCTCCTTGCAGGTAATCTGACTGGATGCCAGACATTTACCTTGCTGCGTGCTAGATATTTTTTATTTCTTCAGAGTTATCTTGGGCTTTATTCTTGGATACCAGAAAATAATTTGATTCTTTTGGGTCTTGCTTTGAGCTTTGTTAGGTAGGTCTGAGGCCATTCTCAGTTTTGAGGTTAATTATTCCTCACTAGAGAGCCCAACACTTTTTTTTCACTAATATATATCCAGCTGCTCAGCAGAAAATTCGAAGAACAAGTACTTTCTGTTGGTGAGCACAGCTGTGGGAGTAGCTCTCCCTAACACTGTGGAAACAACTTCTGTGCTTGCAACACACGCAAATAAGCGTGTATGAAAAGTAAACATATTGAGATCTAACTTGTTCCTAGGAAACTCATAGCCACTGTAAAACCAAGAAAATCAGAGGAAAGGTATAAGCAATCATATAACCATACAAAACTTTTTCAAAAGTACTTTTCAGCCCTGGCTGGTGTAGCTCAGTAGGCCTGTGAACCAAAGGGTTGCTGGTTCAATTCCCAGTCAGGACACATGCCTGGGTTGCAGGCCAGTTCCCAGCAGGCGATGCACAAGAGGCAATCATACACTGATGTTTCTCTTCCTTTCTCCTTCCCTTCCCCTCTAAAGATAAATAAATATAATCTTTTAAAAAAGTACTTTTCATAAACATAACCTTGAGCTATAAAGTTAACGTAAATAACTGAACAAAGATTTGTAAGAAGTATACAAATATTCATATTTTTGAGATTTTAAAAAGTGGACATTTTGGAAATACATTTCCATTCCTAGTCTCATCTATGTATACACGATAAAACCCATAACACTGTAAGAAATGTTTAAATGGAACAAAAGAATCTCTGTCCTCAGAGCCAACACGCTGTCCCCATCATATCACACACTAATGTCCTGGCTTTATCCGCCAACCCTTCAGTTGTCTGCCACAGGCAAGATTCCCTCTCACTGTGTTCCATTCAGTGAAGCACTTGGACCCCCAGCCATCTAGGGAGCCAAGGACCTTGGTGGTTTACCCAGTTCCTTTTTGGAGCAGGCTGAGTAACAGCCATCAGAAGACATTTAGGTTCTCATCCCTGGAACCTATAAATATTACCTTGCAATATCTGATTTAACCTGATACAGATTCGATGGAAGTATTTTACCATGGGGAAATTATCCTGGATTATTTTGAGTAGATGAGTCCTAAATCCAATTGCAAGTGTCCTTTTACAAGAGACAGGCAGAATGGGATCTGACACACAGAGAAGAGGAGGTGGCAGTGTGACCAGGGAGGCAGAGGGTGAGGGACACAACCACAAGTCAAGGACCGTCCGCAGCTACGAGAAGACGGAAGAAACAAGGCACAGACTCTCCTTTAGAGCCTCTGAAGGGAGCACCGCCCTGCCAAGACCTTGATCTTGGCTCAGTGAAAATTACTTTACATTCCTGGCTTCCAGAAGTTTGAAAGAATACATTTATTTGAAAGGATAAATTAATGTTGTTTTTAGCCATCAAGTTTATGATGGTCTGGTACATCAGCCTCAGACCTAACACACTTAGAAATCATTTGTATTCCTCGGCCTGGCTGCTGGGAGGAGCACCGCTCCCAGCCCTGGCACCAGGGACACTCCCTCGCATCCTCTGACCCTTCCGGGTGGTTCCTTCCCCGGCCAGAGAGCCCACAGCCACAGCGCTGCTGAAGAGTGCTCCACTGAGTATTCGTGGGGGGCCTCTGCAGACCTCCCGAGTTCTCCCTCTGTCACTCTGTTCAAGAACTCTGAACTCCCGACTGACTGGGTTTTGGATGGACATTATAAAGGACCACAGAAAATACACTGACCCTGAAGAAACTGTAGGGATTGTTTTGTTGTTTACCTGAAGGTTTTCACAGGTCTCCTGGCTGTAAGTGAGTCTCTGGATCTCCGTAGGTGAAACGAGATACAGCGCTTGTCCATTGTTGGTGAAGCAGAACGTTCTGGCTATCCGCATGTTTGTAAGAGGCAAGTAGTACACATCCAACAGGGGCCTCAGACTTGGCAAACTTGAGAAAAAAGGGAAAAACTTGTTAAGGATAAACAAGGTAGGCCTTCATCTTAAATTACTACAGAAGGAAAAATGCAGGGCCCTATGAACCTCATGATTTAGTGCACTTGGGTGGGAGAGAAAACTGACTCGTATTCCTCATGTAGGTGCTCACCATTGACTTTAAAGCTGAATTCTCAGTTTATGAGACTGTACACAAATAATTTATTTCAAAATTAATGTAATTCTTTCATGTGTTTTGAGGGAGGAAATGCTGTGCTTGAAAAAACTCTAACTCTTACCTGAAAGTCATAATATGTCCATTGGCACAAAAACAGGCGAGGCAGATACTGTTATTCAACGCCACGACATCTCCCCGAAGAACAAATGAGGTCTCTGTAATGTTCTGCTTGTAAGCACAGTTCTGAGTTGGCAGTGAGATTACTTTTGCTTGCTTTTCAGAACAGATCACCGCATACTGGTTTTCACTCATTTCCTGAGAAGAGGAAGGGGACACAGAGACCGGCCGCCTTTTCTTCAGCTTCTCCTTTTCATCCTTCTCTTCCGCAATGTTGTGTTCTCGCCAGGATTCGTATGCAGGTGGCACTAAGCAGCCTGTGGTGTCTAGGAAAGCCATTCTCAAGATCGCCCCTTTTAACCTCAATATAGTACCTACAATGTGTAAATTTAACAGATAACAAATATGTTAATCCACATAGTAAATGTGTTGATTCCAACTCGATGCAAAACAGATACTCAAAATATGCACAAAATGTACACTAAGCTGAAACTGTTTACTGGCTTACTGACAGGACCTAAACTTCAGATATTTGAATCTGGAAAAAGATAGCAATATCATGTGTCCCAAATAGGTAAGTGCCACCAAACAGATAAACGTGTATCATCTCGACTATGTCTTTGCTCACACCTGGCAAATGTACTACCAGCAAGTGCGAGAGCACGGAGATGGCATGGAGAGCTGCGCCGCCCGAACCGCAGCCACCAGCCTCCTGTGGCCGCAGAGCAGCTGGAGCGGGGGCCCCGCCGCACTGCGGCTCCGAGAGTAAAACACGTACCGGCCCGAAGCCTTAGCACAGACAGAACTAAAAGTAAAGTAGCTCGGTAATTTAAAAATGCTGACCCCACGCTGAAATGAAATGCATTTTGAATATATTAGACCAAATGCAGAGTTACTAACTTTTTAAAAATGGCTAGGAGAAAACTGAAAATTCTGTATGTGGCTCACACTGCATTGTGAATGGACAGCAAGTGATCCACAGGGCCAATGAGGAAAAAATCCACATATTTCTGAACATTACTTCAAAAATCATAATTCCCTTTTAAACTATTAACCAGTAAATGTCAAATACATTCAAGGTATTATTTTGGTCAACTTATAAGTCTTAATTTAGGTGTGATATTTCTTTACTTTTTTTATTTAATGGGACTACCTTCCACTACCATGTATTCCTTTATTTAAAACATAAAACTGTAAAATCTCCATTTAGTTGACATTTTAGAATTCTTAGGTTCATTCCAAAGTGAAGGGCAAAGGCTTCTGCTGCGTTGTGGTAAATGAAACCTCCAGCGTCAGGGCGGCGCAGAGCGTACGCACCACTCGGAGACACGATCACTGGCTGCAGGAGTCTCTGCTCTCCTCCTGGGGGAAGGTTCAGGGCAATGACAAGCACAGTTCCTAAGGTGGTGCCAACCCACAAACACGGGGAAGGAGACGAGTCTGCCTTTCGTGTGAAAGTTTCACAGAAATGAAGAGCAGAGATCGCTTCTCGAGTTTCTTTATCAATGCTGGTTACGCTCGAACTCCGGGATCGGCTGAAGGAATTGTCTTTTACATCTAAAATGATTTGAAATGTGAGATTGCTTGTTACAAAATATCACTTTTTTTGGTTTGGTATACATTTAGCTAAACAATATGCAAAAAGACAATATCTGTAACATTTAATTTTAATCTTTTAATTGGAAAAGCAATGTACTTTTATGCCAATACTTTTTCCTTTGCATAATTATATAAAATGTAAACAGACAAATCCACTTCTCATAACTGAGCTGGGTGCATCCTAGTGAATTTTCAGATTTGTGATCTTTAGGTTTTTAGTGCAGCTCCGTGCTGGTAATACTGGCTGCTTTTCCAATCTCAGCTCTTACACCTTCTTTTCTCATGGTGTTCTTTCTTCCTTTGGTAACACAATTTCATAATTTGGTAGAACTAAAAAAGTGTGGGTATCTTCCATTTTCTACATTTAAAAATGCATTTAGAAGTACTCTGCTTCTACTTTCAAATTTACTGTATGATGCACTTTTCCCCCCAAATCTGCTGGCATGAAAGCCTTTAACCTATAAAAACTTAGCTTTCATTTTTCTTGAATGCCATTTTCACTGCACTCCACACTCATCTAAGGTATTTTTCGTCACAATGTGTAACTCGTATCGGGTATGCTCCCTGCTCCCAGTCTGCCTGAGATGACAGAGACATTGGTACATTATACTGGGAAACCCTCGTTGCTTTCAGCTACAGTCTTGTGGCCAATTTCAAGTCTGCCTCAAGCCCTGGCCTCTTATCTCTTGGAATTGCATTTTGATATGTTTATGGCAAATTTTGTTGTTGTCTCACTATGCAAAATCAAAACACGTCATTTCCCCAAGGCTCTAAGTTCTTCTGATAGTACTTTTTATATCAATGACACAGCAGTCCTCCCAGGGAACAACATGAGTCGCAGTTTTGGTTCTCCCCTTTCCCTATACATCTACACTTGACGGGAAGCCACACCCTAAACTGTGTTGCCCATGGTCTCTTTCTTTCCATAACCGAGTAAGTCCCAGACCCTAAATTCAGGCCTCCATTACCACTCATATAGACAATCGCACAACTCCCAAGTAACTTCCCCACCTTTGCTGTCACTGTTACAACACAACTCAAATAGCACAATGTACAGTTGCCATTCTATTATTTCTATTTTAAAAACACTCTGTGGTTCCTCTCTATTGTTCATGCCTATAACCTTATTCAAGTTTTTAAGGCTCTCCACAAAGTATCTATCTTCCAATGCTGCTCTGCTTTAGTTCATTGTGGGAAAGAAACCCAGCCAGCCAGTGTTCTCCCAACACATCCAGCACGTACCTGCTTTTGGGCTTTTGCTTGTGACTGGATCCCTTGCCTCACCCTTTTCTTGACCTACCAAGACTGTGCTTAGACTCCATCTCAAGTAATGCCATCTTTATGAAGTTTATCCTGACTCTCAAAACCATACAGTTTTTCTTCTGAATCACAGTGTCTTTTTTTATCTCTTCCATGGCATTAATAGTTCTCTAGTTCTACAGAACATGGCACTTGTCCTATAACTACTTCTAAATTGTCTTAGGCCTCACTCTAAAGTAATATTGTTTCCTACGTAAGAGCTGTAACATTTTGATGTCCTAAATATAAAAATATTAAATAAATACTTGCTGAACACAGATCTAAAGTTGAAAGTATTTATACCCGTTCATTTCTGCTTCACCAATGAGATATATTAAAATTTCTAAAAGTTCTACTGTTCACATATAATAAACCATTCCTCAAATCATATGCTATAGTGCTATAGTCCACTTCTAATGCTATAGTGAAATAAATAACTTCATAATGTCATGAAAAAAAAGCATGTTAAAATTCTAAGTATTGTATTAAATAAAAGATATAACTGAATCCTACTTATGCCCCCAAAAGCTTTTTATAATCAAATTTAATTATAGATTGAAAAACATACATATCCCCAAATAATTATATACAACAATGTTGATTATAGCCTCTGAAAACAATAAAGCTACTAATTATGTAACAGCATAAGACACTTCTATAGTTTCTAAAATTGCATCTTTTTTTTTTTTTTTGCCTGAGATGGTACTTCCTGTTACAGATTATTACACAGTAGTAAAGAACTATTTACTGGAAATAAAACAATTTTCCATAAGCAAAAGCTAAGAGTTTGTGATATGATACTCATTTAAAATACTAACTCTTTATAGTTCCCAAAGTTATTTTAATAACAGAACTTCTAAATTTATTTTGTAATAATAAAAATCTGTTCATTAGCTTAATAAAACATACACATAAAAATGAATCAATATATATTTTTAGTTGTGATCTAGTAATAAAAATGGAAATCAGTGATGTAAGAAAACTTGATAATATAAATTTCAGTGTAAATTAACTTATGTGAACACTCATTACTGATAATTATTCAAATTACAATAGATGATTCACAACAATCTATACTGCAGATGTTAATTCATAGGCCAAATAATGTTTTAATTAGTTAATTTAAACATATAAATTCATCAACTACAAATATATGCTTATTATATGGCTTCGATTTAAAAATTAGATTATCAAAGAAATTCCCAAAGCTAGATCAAATGGAAAAATGAAGTGAATCAGAATCAACTTTGAACTTATAGACTGCTTATTTTATCTGCCTAGAACTGTTTTAAAATGAGTTAGAATTTCTAACAGTTCATGAATTACAACTTCTCCTGACAGCTATTAAGTTACATGCTATGGCTTAAATTTTAGAAATCGGGCAAGATAAGCACATGGGATAGAAATTTAATTTTAGTAATAACAGCAGAAACGGAAATAGCAAGGCCCGCCACATGTTATACACTGTAGTAACAGTTACCATTTTACCGAATCCACATAGTGTTTCTCATTTTATTGAATGCACAAAACAACTCTGAAAAGTTGTATCGTCACAATTTAAGAAATAATACAACAGAGGCTCAGACAGGTTAAATGACCTGCCTGGGATACGAAACTAGTTAATGGAAGAGTTAGGATTTGTGCCCATATACCCCAGTCTAGAACTTTCTGCGAGATAGACAAAGGGTTAGTCACATCATGGACAGTGTGAGTGGAGGGTTTTGGTTACTACTGGGTTCAGTCTTTACACACACACACACACACACACACACACACACGCGCGCGCGCGCAAAACACCTTGATGAGTGGTCTTTCCAACAGACTGAAACTCAGCTAAAATTTGTCATCAATGCCTCGACCCACTGCTAGCTGATACAATGTGTCATAAAACCATTGCTCTCATGTTACTCCTGGGATGCCCAGAACATCCTACACATACACAGCCTCCTGTCCTCCTCACAAAGAGCCTAACACAAAAAAACTGAATCCCCAAATCAAAACATAATGCGAGCAGGTGTACTTGGTCAGAATAAAAACTAGGACAAAGACGAATTCACATCCAAGTATGTAACCGGTCGATGTCCTGCCTCCTGTGGCAGACACCTAGACACCTGAAGAGTAACATCAGAAGTCTAACAGTATCACCCATGGCTCCTGCGTTCTGGGCCATGGGATCTGGAAAGGCGAGGTCACAAAGTGTACTGTGGCACAATTTCCCTGTGAGCAAAGGTGGTTCCTACTCACAGAAGCTTTCGGAGCTGCAGGACAGTCCACTGGCCTCACCTGCTTCAGCAGTATCTCGCACTTTGATCCTACCAACAGAGCTGCTTTTCACCATTAGCGCCCCAGCCAATGTCAACAATGACCAGCTAAGAATCTTTATCAAAATATAGTTCAGCAATGCAATGACTTGAAGGCAAACTACTTAGAAAACATGGAGGCTGTTTCAAGGCACATATCAATCAAAGTTATCATTGGCTTAGGGAATTTACATAGCACATATCCTCAAACATAATCTAAAGATGACCTATCAAAGCACTGAGTATATACTTTGATTAAATTATTTATAAAACAGAGTGTTCTTCTAAAAATGATTGATATTTTTACTAATTTTTAAAGTATTTGCCCTGGCTGGTGTGGCTCAGTGGACTGGGTGCTGGCCTGCGAACCAAAGGGTCACCTGTTCGATTCCCAGTCAGGGCACATGCCGGGTCTCCAGCAGGGGGAGCTCAAGTGGCAACCACACATTGATGTTTCCCTCTCCTCCTTTCCCCTCCAGAAAAATAAATAAAATCATAAAAAAATAAGTAAAAGTATTTGTACATGTGTTTTCTTCATTTTTAAGATACTAAAGATATAAAACCATTTTAACTAGTAGTATTTCATGTTATTGAAATTTTAGGCCTCTGAGAATCTGATGAAAACTCTGGAAAAAGATGTATATATACTGTACAAGCTTCAGTTACAGCTGAATACATCTTTCATTTTTACACTGAAGGAACTATAGTTTTCAAAACATGTTATCGTGTGTTCTAGGATTAACTCATGTTCCCTAAACACCAGTGTTACTACAGATTGCTACTAGATTGTTCTTCCTCTGTTCAGGGATGGAACCCTTTATTAATGACAGCAGAAGATACTATGCCTACTCATAATCACGTGCTTTCTATCAGTATAACTGATGGAAGACTATGATTGAGGAAAGCTAAAATTAGTGTGGTGGAACTGGCCAATATTTAACTTTGTATTATGCATAAAAAGAGAGTTAAGGGATCTAGAGAATAGTGGGAAGATGAGATGGGTGAGCAAATGCTAGGGAGAAAATCTAGTTATTTCTAAGACAAAGATGCATAAAATCATCCTTATGGTCATACTTCTTATTCAATTAAAAGCAATAGAGATTTTGGAGATAAAAATGTGTTTAAAAAGCAGCTATGCTTTAAATATTTATTACATAAAATCTTTTTATCTTTATTGAAATCTCACTTGTCCCTATCCTGGCATATCAGGGAGATGTTTTTAAGCTGCACGTAAAGCAAAAGGAACGTGTGAATACATTCACTCTACTTTCCTAATAATGGACTAGTTGTACAGAAGGTGCTGTATAAAAAGAAGCATTTCTCAACTTATTATCAACAGAAAGTAATGATTCTTTGATATGAGTTATTATAATACAAAACACTAGTAATTTATTTTGAAAATATCAAATTCTTATAAAGTAAATTTATAAATTGTAGAGTTCAAAAGTTTTCAGATGGGTAAATGTGATATAATAACTGTTAATAGAAAATAACCAGAAATTGCACAAATCTTAATCTTGTACTAAATTTTGTTTAGATATAAGTTTGAAAGGGCTGAGGAAATGTAGTATTTTGATTTGCTTACTTTTATAAATATCTTTCATAATTTATAGATGGCATTCTATAGGCTATTAATCCTTAAAATCTTAGTCATTTTAAACTTAGTTTCTAATGAAAATCTAGTCTATGCTAATTTTAAATCTTCTGATTTCCTTGTCTTCCCATTAAAGGGAGTTTAACTAGTATGGATTTTTATTTACTTTACTTACCTAAGTCAGGCTTTAGGTCAGTAGGCAAGCTTAACTTCCTTGACATCTTTGCTGAAAAATAAAATGCATTTTTAAACTTCTGAACAATCTTTGATTCATACTTATTAATACCAACTGCTCTTGAAGACAGAGGTGAATGTTTATTACTAAATCTAGATGCTAGGGTAGTTAAAATGATCAATGATATTAGGGGTGGAAAGTAAATCCTACTTTCAACTTTTTAATAAGTATACACTTACTTGCTGTAATATCTTTTTGTGGTTGAAGCTCTTATTTCAACAAGGGAGGCTTTTATACTCTGTTAACTATTTCTTAGACTCAAAGGAGAGAAGAGAGGTCATTTCTCAGGAGAAAGATGTGGCAGATAAGGACATCAGAGGCAACAGACTGTGTTTGGGTAAGGAATGTAATAAAACCACTCCGTCTCCTCATCTTCATAGCTAGTGAATTCATTATTTTTAAGTTAATCTCTAGAATGTAGGACAAATCTATAGCTACAATCAAATTAAGGTATTTGATTACATTATAAAATCATTTAGCTCAACCATTTCTTGATGTAAGTTAACAGCTGTTTTTATGTTTCCGTGGAAACCCAAAAACAAAGCCATGCTCAATTTAAAATTGTGATATTTACAAAAATGTAAACTACAGTATTTTGATGTTTTACTTAGTATTAGAATTATAATAAAAAACTTGTATATAAACCTATTGAAATTCGCTTTTCATCCTCAAAATCAGTTATTGCCTTCATCTAGTAAGTGATTTAAAGTTAGGAGTTGTTTAACTCTTATCTATTAGATTAGTGCCAGTGCATGTGAATAGAATAGTGCTTCCTACATGAAATTTTGAAAAAGCATTTGTTAATACGTGAATGTGTGTGTCCAGTTAAATTCTGCGCTGTGAGGAGGTATTTGAAGCACAGACCCTGCCAGTCCCTAAAGGCGCCATGTAATCAAAGTACAGAACTCCCGCATCTGAGAAACGACAGACCCGGTGTTAGAAAAGAGGCAGCAGGCAAACTCTGAAGAGGTGGGGAAATCAGGTTTTCGTTTCTAAGCTTCACTATTAAGAAGGAAAAACAGCACTGGGTCAAATACATGAATCAGTCTTTTTCCCATTTTCATTCTGACTTAATCAATCTCATTTAGAAAGTAAAATGTAATAGAAAACTAAAATAGCCAAATGAAATCTGCGGTTCATTGATCTCATATAAATGGTTGTTATTGTATGTAATATTCCATTCTGCTAAAATTAGAAGACATTATATGCCCAAACCATATTCTAAAATACAACATTAAACATTTTTGAAAGATTTCAGATTTTCAGCAAATATCATAGGTACAATGGACATAATCTGATAATGTCTATATAATGTACATGTTATGTGATGTAGAAAAATCAGTCTGGTACAGTCTAAAGATACTGTCTTAGAATCAGATGATGTGATTGCCTCTCTCCACCTGATCATGCTGTCGTTTGTCAAACTTGAATGTGTACATCAATCAGCTGAGGACCCAGTTAAATGAGACTCTGATTCTGTACTCCCGGGCTAGTGCCGGGGATTCTGCACTTCTAACCAACTCCCAGAGAATGCTGACGCTGGTCTGTGGCCCTCATGTAGACAGCGAGCTCCTTAAACTAACACACCTTCAGACAGAAACCAATACTAATCCACCAACCCTGTATGTATGCACATTAAGTCCACAAAAACATGTGTACAAACTTCAATAACTAGTTTATCAATGTAGAAGTGTAAAGTATAGTGACTAGGACTGAATCTGGAATCAGATCAACACTAAGTAGAAGAAACTATGGGACAAAGTTTAAGAGCCAAGACATTCTGTCAGCATTTTACACAAGGGGGTTCTTTTAACAGTGCCAGCCTAGCAGGTTCTAGGGTTACTTCTTGTACCTTATTAGGCCACTGCAGAACTGCCTAAAGCTGAAGCTATAAATGTTTGCAGAGTGAGGAAGAGAGAGATGGTGACTTTGTGAGGTTCGGGGTACTTCCGAGCAGGTACGAAATTGGATGATGGGAAACAGTGAGCTCAGAATGCCCAAGGAGACTTTGTACTTTTGACACCACTGGCTTCATACGGAAAACAAATCTTGACAGAAAGGTCTTCAGGATTTTTTCCCCAGTGCTTCACTGACATTTTATGTTTTTTCTCACTAACATATTTTATGGTAAGTCTTATTACAAAACTAGACATTAATGCAGGGAGATAAACTATGTCTTTTTTTAAGCTGCAGAAACCTTAGTCTAAAGTGGGGCAGTCTCCATTAGAATGCAGAACACATTAGAAGTGAGCTTTCTTCTGGGGACCTCTGGACAGATCTTGGGATTAAAAAGACACTGAAAGATTCCAACCAAAAATAAACTGTATGTAAATAAGAAGATATAACAGTGGGTTTTGAAGGTAAAAAATAATTATGTATAATTGTGTAACTAACAAAGTTTGAAAACTGAATAAAGTTAACATGTCTCCGAATAAATGTAACTATAAAAACTGGATTGACAAAAAGAAAAACTTGCTAATAACATAAAATTAAAGCAAGACTGTTATCAAAGAATTATACTTCCAATAATGTTCTCAGTTCTATGAAATATGTTAAGTGACATCTTTCAAATATTCATGCTACATTCTATTAAAAATATAGAAAAATATGAAAGGTAGTCATTATATTTAACAAATAAAACATAACCTCAAGATCGAAAAATCTGACAGAGAAATTATTCCAAAAATTTAATTATGTACTAAATTGTTTTCATGGAAGGTAGAATTCCTATGTAACTAAATTATATAAGTTCTAAAGTCTATGTAGGAAAGTCCCTTCTAACTTTTTACATTATATAACAGTAAAGTAACTTCTAAAGTATTATTAAGATAAAATACAAGGAAAATTTGTTGAGAAAGTGTTATGCTACAGTACTAGTACATAATTAATTAAAGTGATTTAACTATTACCAACTGATTCACTAAAACCCCACAAATATGAAGAGGTAAATAATTAATTTTCCATAAATGAAGAGCCCTCTGCCCCAGAATAAACCACTTCACTTTAAAAGAGACCAGAGGTGCCAAGTCAGCCAACATTAATACGACTAAACAGGGTTCAATTTACAACATGCAGACAACGTGGATACTACTGACACTTCTAAGAATTTTTACAATTTAATTTTACTATATAGTAAACTTTGTCAGCTGAGACAAAGTAAGTCAATTCCAGCTGTCTAGAAATTCATCCAATTTCATACAATTCAAAGAATGTGGTGGGAATTTGGGGGAAAATAAATAACAGTATAACAAAAAGTTTGGATTGAAACCAAAGATTAAATTTGTTCTCTTTTCAAATACACTGTTTCTCAAGCCTTTGAAAGTTTTCAGGGAATATTCAAATTTTTATGACCAAAACCACTAATTTAACTGTGTTCCCAAAGTTTAATTATATATTTCATCTACCATTTCTGTACTTTGTTAACCTTGGAGTAACTCATTTCAAAGCTATTCATAAAAACAAAAAGATTAACATAGAGTCTTCTCCACTGCTCATTTTTACTTGGTGGGAGAAGGGGCCATCCTAGAAAATTCCATTTAACTCAAGGCCAGTGCAGATTATAGACTAAAAGAGTGAATCTTTTAGAGAAGCATTTCCTTGAAATGTACGATCTTGGTAACAGAAGGAAGATGAAGTAAGGTAGAAGAAAATATAAATAAAACTGTAAAGGAAAAAAATTTCAAAGATGGGAGTATAAAGTTGTACTTATTCATGGCATAAATTGAACCCTGCTTTATTTTAACATAAAGCAAAAATAAAAATAGAACAATTCACACTGTAAGTCAGAGGAAGAACTGCAACCCCAATTTTACCAATTCTTAATAATTATTGCCCAATGAGTTCAGAAGAAACACAGCCCAAGAGATTGTTTAGCATAGGAATAACAAATTAATATATATAAATGCAATGCATCAGATAATTTTTTGGTATGGAGTTAGCATTGCATAGAGCAAGGATTAGAAACAAAATAGAAATTTCTATTTCCTACCTATATCACTGGCTACCATCTTGGAAAACTTTCTGCTTTTGGTCTTCACTGAAAACAACATTTTGATATAAAATGTCAAAATCTATTCAAAGTAAACTAAATGAATTAAACATAATTAAAAGAAACACTTTAAAATAAAGATACTATACCCTTTTCTATAAAATTATTCATTTTTTGTTCATCATCCGAATTATGTGGTGATGAAGAACCTACACAAATGAAGACAACGGAACAGGCAGTCAGTCAGTCACCAACACGGGGCTGTCATAGGGATCAGCACAGACAACAATCTGATAACTTCTGGAACAAGCCCCCCACCTCCGGCCACAAGTCCATAGTCAACGAGAATTCGTGGAGAACCACAGTGAGAACAGCAGGCAGTAGTGCGCTCCGTTCCATGCTAGAACAATCCCTGGTACACAAATATTAACTCGATCTACAATGGGTTTTATAAGTTACAACCCGTGGGCAAAATTTTGGTAGTATTATTTGTTAGAGAATAGAGAAAAATATAACTAGAGGTTAACACTTTCTGAGGAAAAAAGGTAAAAATTCTTGGTATTAGTTAACTGAATAATGTTTATCTAGTAGAACTAAGAATCCTGTACAAGTGCTACACCGGGAAAACTGATTTTAGTGTCAGCTTTCGAGATACAAACTTCAAAATAATAAAGAAATTCTATTTATAACCTTAGAGACCTTTAAAATATTGAGCTTAATACTTACAGTTTTAGCTATATTCAAATATTTATTTAAGTTTATAAGGTAAGAAACACTTTCAGATGTGACTTCTGATTATTTTTATAATTATAATTTTATTTGTCACTTTTTTGAAAAGGTGTTTCTAATTTTTCATAGTATTTCACTTTAACATCTTTTATTATAAATAATATCTTAAGTAGTATTATAATGGACTTTTATTAGAATTAAACTATTTTTTATAGTGCAGTTAAAATGTTATCTCATCCATTAAACGTTTCAAACTCAACATAAATCACTTCTCCTTCTTTGATTTCTCCTAACATGTTACCTGTATTCTTCTCTTATGATGTTAATCACTTAATACCTTACATTTTAAGTTTACAAACACCTGACCTTCCCCACTGGACCGAACTTCCAAGAAGCTGGCCACCAGCTGATCTGTCTCTGCATCACCTCTGCACTCAGGGCAATGCTGCACCTGCAGAAATCACTACGTAAACATTTGCCAAAAGAATAAAGTTTTCTACTATCAGCCAATCTCAAACATAATGGGCACAAGAAGAGGTTTTTCTGGTTTTTTTTCCCTTTTTTATCTCAGTGAAAGCAACAGGCCATAACAAGGTCAAAATGTGACCCCCCTTTGTGCCACAGAGCTGTACCTGCTTTCTTTGGTAGGTAAACAACACCCTCGAGGTGTCTCTGCACAGACCAAGTAGGACTTGCCAACATGGGCAGCATTTGATTGCTTTATAATAGTCTTAAAAGATTACTCTTTAAAACTAAGTAATTCTTCTTAAATAGCATTTATAGATCCTCATAAATCCTACATAAAAATCACATGAGTAACAGTAAGCTCAATAACATTTTCAGGACTAAAAATAGTATACTTGTTTTTCATATAAATATAAGTCACATTCAAATAAGCTAATGAGTCCCAGCTAGTGTAGCTCAGTGGACTGAGCACAGGCCTGAGAACCAAAGGGTCACCAGTTCAATTCCTAGTCGGGGCACATGCCTGGGTTGCAGGCCGAGTCTCCCTCCAGTTGGGGGCTCATGACAGGCAACCAACCACACACTGATGTTTCTCTCCCTCTCTTCCTCCCTCCCTTCCCCCTCTCTAAAAAAATAAATGAAATATTAAAAAAATAAGATAATGGTTATGATAAGATGCTATATATTTAAAATACCACTGTTCCCTTTGATATTCAATATAGCCACATCAACATACAAAATTTATTAATACATGTTTTATTTCATATATCTAAAAGTAGAATAGTAGCAAGATAACATACCTAAACATAAGTATAAAATTATAAATATGTTTAGCATTTACTACCAAAAATAAACAATGTAAGTAGCCATAATTGTAAAGTTAAAAAGGGGATTTATAGATTTCCTCCCCCCTAACTGAACATGTGTACCACTGCTTATCATAATTATATGACAGCTCATGAAAAAGTTCAAAAAATGCTTTCAGCCCTGGCCAGGTGATTTGGGTACTCAAAGCACCGTCCCAGGCACCAAAAGGTTGTGGGCTTCCATCACCGGTTGGGGCACATGTTCAGATTTTGGGTCAGTCCCTGTCAGGGTACATACAGGAAGCAACTGATCAATGCTCTCTCACATCAACGTATCTCTTTTTCCCTCTCTCTCCCCCTTCCTCTCTAAAATCAATAAAGGATATTCTCAGTTGAGGATAAAAACATGTTTTCAGCATGTCCTACTTGAATATATTTACCAAATTACTGATTAAATAAACACAGAAAATATCTACAGCTTTTTGGTTTTTTTCTAGGGTTCATAGCAACTCCTGAAGGCACCATTTACATCATGGTACATGGGGCTTTTTCAATTTGAAATAACCTAACAATGTTTTTATCACTTTAGCATAAACACACACACATTTTGAATACAGCGCTAAAAAAATTTCCAACATTACTAAAGTGCTCAGTGAAGGAATGTAAAATTTTTTTTAATTTTTAAAGATTTTATTTATTTATCCTTAGAGGGTAAGGGAAGGAGAGAGGGAGAGAAATACCAATGTATGGTTGCTTGTTGTGCGTTCCCTGCTGGGAACTGGCCTGCAACCCAGGCATGTGCCCTGACTGGGAATCAAACCGAGATACTTTGGTTCATAGGCCCGCGCTCAATCCACTGAGCTACACCAGCCAGGGCAGCAATGTAAATTTTTTTAAAAAAATAAAGATCAAACAGAGATGGAATAATTTTCTGTTAACTCAGGATGGCAGAACTAATTTTACATTTCTGAGAGATTGATTTATTTAAAAATAAATGGGAATGACAAAATAGTTTTTAATAGAACTCTAATACTGACTAAACTGTTGAGATCACAAATCTTGATTATGAGATTTAAACCTTTTCGAAAAAGTTTGTCTTCCTTTATATGTATTAGTTTGAGTAAATACATCGGTTTTGATAAAGGACATATTCATCTCTAGAATATTCATCCTCCTCTCAGTCTTCATGAGGAACTCACTTATTCAATGTCCAACCCGCTGTTACATATTTCCTCTTCTCTAACTGATACGAAGTTTTCTATTCACCATACTGGCATTAATAATCTAAAATGGATCATTTAACTATTTATTGGCCTTACTTATTTCCCACTGCACTGTAAAACATACTGGAAGCTTGTACTTTAATTACTGCTTTCTATGGTTTTAATAACATGATCCCCTTGAGGTTCTTCACATTCACCTCAAACTCACCTTACCCAGTTTTCTTTCTGAACACCCTGTATTAGTAGGTTTATATGTGTTGGAGAGAGTAATAATATCTTATTCTTTTAATTCTGTATTACAATGTTAATAGAAACAAAGGCAAGAAGTTACAAATATACAAATAGTAGGACAACTGGCCCATGACGGGCAGCAAAAACGACTGTTAAGGATTTAAAAACAGACAAGCAATGAAGGACACAAGCTGTAACAATACAGTGTCAAAGGGCGGCTTTCCAGAATTCTCCTCTGCGGTTCCTACTGAGTGTCTTAGCAGTGCCGTATGCCTGACAGCTCTCTCTTGCTACCTAAACCATGTTTCAGGCACAACTACTATTTATTAAAGTCTAATTTGTTTCTTGTAAAAGTAGCCTTCCCTGATAGGTAGGAATAGATGTAAGTCTTCAGAGAATGCTTGCATCTTTCACAACATAATCAAGAACTAAATAAACTAAGAGTTTTATACATATAGGTAAGAATGTTGGACTTCTCAATGCTATCTGAGGTCATATAAATTTCTCTATGTTAAAAACGACACTATCTTTTTATATGGACCAAACAGTACATGGACCAAAGTATTTGAAAATGTTGAACAATGTTTGGATTTCTCTAGTATGAAAAAGAGAAAATTTGGAGATTTTTAAATCTTATGTACTTTTTATATTTATATCCTTACATTTAAATATACTTATCTACAATTACCTTTTGCTGGGTTATTCCAAATTGCTAGATATAAACACCTATTGAAAGTTTAGCTTAAGACAAAAAGGAGCATAAATTTACTTGGCCTCAGTGTTGTTAAAATACTTTTGCTGGTCATTTAATATATTAAAGGATCATGTTTCATGTCCAAATTATTCCATTTGGTTATAGTCTTATAATGACAACTGCATTTGCATGGCATTTAGTGAAAGTGAAAAGAACAGAACAGCACTGTATGTAATCAAAGGAAGAGCAGCCATACCTTAAAAACACTGTAACTCTAAATTCCAAATTCGGAAATAACTCTGGTCCTGTAAGATTGGAAATATAATTGCCTGCTCCATATTATTCATTCAGACTTTATTCTATCAATGCTCAGACATAATATCAGGTGCTAATTATGTGATTCCTATAGCTCAATGTTTTTTATTAGTTTAATGTATGAATTTAAATATGAAATTTAAAGATTAAGGAAACCACATGGATGGAACCGGAAAGCTGAGTGAAATAAGCCAGGGGTTGAAAGACAAATACCATATGATCTCACCTTTAACAGGAAGCTAAACAACAAAACAGACAAGCAAGCAAAATAAAAACAAATACACTGAAATAGAGAACAGGGGGGGACAACGACCAGAGAGGAGAGGGGAGGGAATTTAAGAGGAAAAAATGGGAGGGATTAGAGTAACAAGTATGAAGGACACAGGGACAATAACTAAGGGGGGTGGAAATGGAAGGGAGGTGGGGTGCATGGGGAGGGGTGGGCTGGAATGGGAGAAATAAACAGAAAACTGTACTTGAAAAATAACTAAATAAAAATTAAAAAAATAAAGATTAAGGAAACCAGAATTTGGATGTATTTTAAGAAATGGTTAACTTGTGTAATATTGGAAAATGTGATTTTAAAAAGAAAATATTACAGAAGCTTTTAAAGTCCCATGTTATAAAATGCTACACTAAAATATTAGGGAGTAAAGTAGAATGCGCTTCTCAGTACTTTCCATTCTTAAATCTTTCCATTCTGATGTAGCAGAACCAGCTAAGGGTCAGGGTCTGTCTAAGAACAACGTTACCTTATGCTAAGGACAATCTTTCCAGTAGAAAGTTGATGAAAATTCCCACCAGAATGCTTTACTAAATGTGGTAATTAAAATTATGAAGTCAATTTGATTAAAGATTGGCAAGTTTTCAATCCACTGAAAACATAATAAACTCAGAATCCACTTACAGAGACTCAAAAGCTACTAAAAGTTCCTCTAAAATATTTACATATACATATATAAACAGGTTACATAAAGACCAGTATGTAAAAAACAAAAGGACAACTGCTTTAATAGAGCTATAAAATTCTACTAGGTATTACACTGACCACGAAACAAGAACAAATATAGTCTAGAATTACTCTGTCAAGTCACTGTCAGAGGACAATGTTAGGAATCCTTCATGTTTACATGGACATCTTCAAGGGTTACAGTGCCACTCTGCCGAGTGACAGCAGGCATGCCAACAGCAAGGACAAGACTGGAGAGAACTAAGCCATTTGATCCAAAGGTAAGAAGTAAAACATATATTCCCTAAAAAAGTATAACTATTAAAAGCCTAAGTAAATAATTATATGACTCTTAACAGGTAATAGCCATAGATTTTTATCTAGGGCATTTTTTTTTTCACTAAATGAGAAAGCAAAAAAAGATACAGTTATGACTTTAAGAATAAATATGTGACACTAAAGTCCCTTGTAGGTGTGTTTTAAATGCTCGTCTATAACAAAGGAACACTGATACTCTGTGTTGCTTTTTGTAGAAGTATCCTTATTAATGAAACTTATTAGTGAAACAAAACACAAATTACCGGACGTTGGAGACTTGCAGCGATCCTCTGGGACCACAGTCCCTTCACTGATATCACAGAGACCAGCTGAAAAACAGGAACGAAAACCAAATCAACCACGTGTTTATATAAACGCAGTTTTATCCTATCTGCAGTCCACATTTAATGATAGTCCATTACAAAAAAATCCAGAAGATTCAAATACACCTGGCACTGGTACTATGCTCCTTCGTTTTGAGATAGAAACATAAAAAAATTGCTTAAAACACCTCAAACTAATATGGCAGTCATTAATTAAGAAACAGAATTTTCAAGAAATAATTTGCTGTTCTTCAAGGAAAACTAGTCCTGAGGCAAAACTTTGTTTAAAATCAGTAATTTGAAGGGCACATGATATAGTTACTATTGGATTTCTCCTGAGGGAGAATAAACATTGGTAGTAAGTTTGGTGATTGTTACAGCAGAGACCCTCAGCTCCAAGTGATTTCCCCTGTGTATGTGTCAAACACCACTCTTACATATTTTCAGTAATAATTAAAAAAATATTTTGTACCTCCCAATCTGTAATTTTAAAATATTGCACATTACTTATCTTATAAGACGATACCTCTTAAAAACTATCCAATCACATTTTTTTAAGTTCTAGATAAACTCTTCTACATATTTTTGTGAATTATATAAAACTATTCTATTTGATAATATGGCCTAAATTCACACGAGAAAACACAGCAAGATATTTTATGCTGTAGACAAGAATTTAAAAGACATCGCGAAAGTAAACAATTAATATGAATATGAATTTCTTGTTTAAATAAAAATAATTATTGCAAATTCTTCATTTTTTAATATTTTGTTTTATTTTTAGAGGGAAAGGAAGGAAAGGAGAAAGAGTGGGAGAGAAACATCAATGTGTGGTTGCCTCTCATGTGTCCCCTACTAGGGACCTGGCCCGCAACCCAGGCATGTGCCCTGACTGGGAATTGAACTGGCAACCCTTTGCTGCACAGGCCTATGCTCAATCCACTGAGCTACACCAGCCAGGGTGCAAATCTTTAAAAACTACAAAAAACACACCAAAAATTTGATGCAGTTGGGCGACAGACAAAGGGCCACTCATCTGGGCTTCTGAAACAGCCAGGTATCACACAGACCTGCAATTTTCAACCTTTCTCACCTCATGGCACATATAAAGTAATTAGTAAAATTCTGCAGCACACCACAACATGTATTTTTTGCTGATCTGAATGAATCTGGATTCATTCACACTGGATGGTTCTTGTTGTGTTAGCTGTTGTCATTTTTCAATTTGACAACCTAAGGGAGGAAGTCAGTGCCCCTGACTAAATAGTCGGGCACTGCACATTTTAGAAATTCCTGTGGCACACCGACTGAAAATCACTGACACAGATGCACCTGCACGTATGCACATATCTGCTTTTCCATTCATTTCGTAAAAGATATGATGTCACAATGCCTACAGTCTCCAAGAAAACTCTCACAGTAATACTTCCAAGAGAACACTGAATACTGAATTGGGATTATAAAAAGTATTTTCTATTTTGAAATATATAGCATTTGTCTTGATTGGGTAGAAAATTTTTGAATGACAGTTTTCAACATTCATCAAACCAGTGTTTCTGAAAAAAAAAAAAAGGCTAGCTTTTATAGTTTTAAAATGATAGATCAATTATAGGTATGCATTTAATCCCTGACAAAATACTTGTTTGTATAAATGATAGCAAGTCTTTAAATGGTAGCAATATATGGTAACAACCTAAACAACCTAAATATCTGTTGATAAATGCAGGGACCAAGGAAATGTTGTGTGTGCCTACACATACACACACACACACACACACACACACACACAAAATGAAATATCACTAAAAGCAGTGAAATGTTGCCATTTGCAACTATATGGAGGGACCTTGAGGTAAATGAAAGAACAAGATAAAATACCTTATGATCTCAGTTATATGTGAACCAAAAAAACTAAAACAGAACAAAACAGAAACAAAAATAAGCTGAGAGATACTGAAAATAGAGCAGTGGTCACCAGAGGTGAGGGGGCGTGGGGAAGGGACAACTGGGTGAATGGGGTCAAAGGGCACATGCAGTTATAAAATAAGTCACAGAGATGTGTTGTATAGCCGGGTGACTACAGTTACTAATACTGCTTTGCATATTTGAAAGTTGCTCGGAGAGTAGATCTTAAAAAGTCACAAGAAAAATAATTTGTAACTCTAAGATGACTGATGTTAACTAGACTCACTACGGTGATCGTTCACAATGTATACAAATATCAAATCAGTATGTTGTACACCTGAAACTAACATCATGTCAATTATACCTTAATAAAAAAATAAATAGCATAATAGTGATAATGATCTCTAGTGTTACAATGGGCCTAATACTGAAAAAAAATAATTAATTTAGAAAATGTAAGCCTTTTCTATTTTGTAAATTGCTATTAAACACTATAAATATGTACTCTGTGATATAATTCCTTTTCTTAAAAATAGTAAAATTCCAATTTCTTCTCTAGGAAGAAATATATAGGAAGGTAAATTAGAGAATACGATAGACACTCTTTAATCTTTAGGTAGTAAATTACTGAATAAGCTAAAACCCTTTCAATGCCTTCCATCTGACTCAGGGTAAGAGTCCAGCCCTCTGTGCCTGGTTGATGTATACAGTCCTATGACATATGACGGCAGCATGTAGCACGCGACCACGAAATACCTCTCTGACTTTATTTCCACTGCCTTCACCTACTTCCTGACCTCTCCAACTCTGTACTCTAGCCACACTACTCCTCACTGTACCTTGAACTCTCCAGGAAAACTGCTTTGGAGCGAATGTACTTGCTCCTCTCTGCCCGAAATGTTCTTTTCCACAGACATCCTCATGGATCACAGCTCTCTCACTCACTTCCTTTACGCCTTTACTCGAAAGCCACCTGGACACTCTATTTAAAATGTAACACCCATGTAACTGACATTTCAAATCTCCCTCATTTATTTTCCCTTTAGCACTATTATATAACTTACTATCTATTACTTACCAGTATATATTTAATTGTCTATCTTTTCCAGTACAATGAGTTCCATGAGGACAGAGATTTTTGTCCATTTTCTTACCCATACTAGCGCAGAGCACATGTGCTCAGTAAATGTGTCGAATAACTGAATGAATACATGGGAAAGACTTTTGTAGCATTATAATCCATCTTCTCTGACCCTGCCAGACTGCCTTCAACAAATATTCCTAGTGATATAGTTATCTACGCTTTGCCCAAATGTATCCCAACCCAATTAGCTAGCTGGTAATAACCAACCTTTACTAAGTGCTTATTATGTGCCAAATATTGTTCTCGGTGCTTGATTTATTTAATCCCCGCTGCAGCCAGTAAGGTAGACAGATTTGTCTTCATTTTACAAAAGAAACCGAGGCACTGAGTGCTTTGGTTATGTTACACAGTGGGAAGCACATAACTACTTCTAGAGATAGTAAACTTGATTGTCATTGTCAGAGATATACGCCTTCCTTTTCAAATGTTTAAATAGGAGGCTTAATCTACTGTTTAAAATGCTCAACGAGACAGTCATGTGTTAGTGCACATAACACATTCACTGACTGAGCCACACTACATCAAAGTAAGTATCAGGTTATGAACTGGCCCAGGAGGTCCTATGGTTTAATCCAGGGACGGCCACACGTTTTCTGCGAAGGGCCAGATTGGATTTTGGAGCCACTGTCACAACCGCCCCCCTCTAATGTTGTGGCACAAAAGCAACCACAGATGATAAAACATAAGCAAATAAAAATGGTGCTGTTCTCATGAAACTAATCTGCAAAAATGGGCACTGAGCCAGATTTTTGTAAAAGCAGCAGTTTGCTGACTTTCAGTCTAATCAACCTGGAAATCATCAAACTAAACTAGGTGTTTAGGTCACTTCTACCTGTCTAGGTCGTAAAAGGATCAGAAAACTCTTCACCAAATAGTGGCTAACTTGAGGAAATATGTCAACAGGCTGCCGTGGGCCAGTCTGTTAGTTACCAGATTAAAAAAGTAGCATTAATCTCACTACAACTTACTTCTAGTAATTTACTGCTGACTCCTACTGATATCTCTATTGTCAATATGCACATAAGGCATCAGATACTTAGCAAATCACTCTAGAATTTTGAATAATTTATACATCAAATTTACTGATTTATAAAACATCTGACTTTCATTACATTGGGAGTACTATTCAAATCCTCTTCACAAATTTTCTCAATATCTTTTTATTATTGCTTGATCTGCCTTACTTATATAATTTAGCTTAGACTTTCATTTCTATTATTTTTTATACTTTTGAGAGAGAAAAATAATTCTTATTAATGGAGACTTGAGAAACAAAGTCATTTATTTCTACATTTTGTTTTTTAATTACCATTTCAAATCATCCTAAAATGGTGTCCTAATCCTTCCTGAACTGTATTTCCACTGTAAACTAACATTTTGCTGTATTTCACATTTTGGGGAAATTAGCCTGAATTCAGTATAGTACTTATTCAACTATCAACATTTTTATTCACTCTTGATTGTATCACATATTGCTTTTTTTAAAAAAATATTTTATTTATTTATTTTCAGAGAGAGGGGAAGGGAAGGAGAAAGAGAGAGAGAAACATCAATGTGTGGTTGCCTCTCATGTGTTCCCACACTGGGAACTGGCCTGCAACCCAGGCATGTGCCCTGACTGGGAATTGAACCGCAATTCTTTGGTTCACAGGCCCGTGCTCAGTCCACTGAGCTACACCAGCCAGGGCTGTATCACATATTTCTTATACAGTATTATTTTTCCCTATAATACACACACCCACACACAAAAATTTAACTGGTAGGTACTATTAGGCTCCACAGCTACTTCTCTTTTTCTATTTTATTGGCAATATTGAACCCACTTGAAAGTACCTGCAATTGTAGAGTCAAAACTTCATTATTGAGCCACCTCTCCATAATTTTTGAAAATACCTTTCCTGAAGTCTAGATAGAATTAGATACGGCCAGCTAATTACCTACATTATAATTATCAACTTCTAAGACTAAGTAACCACATTTTCTTATGTGTCTATCATGTTCACATCGCTAAAAAGATCTTATTTGGGTTTTAGAACTATATTCAGAACAAAAATTTTCCGTTTATGCCCTTCATGGAGGGAAGAAGTAAGTGGCCAGCAAAACTAGACATATATTAACACATTTTACTTACATTAGAATTAATACTTCTAGCAACATATAGGGAGTTGAAACACTTCATCACTACTTGTCCCTGTGACAGTTTCATAAATGTTATTACGAAGATACTATATTCTAGTCAATAGTTCAATTGTATTTTAATATAGCTATGAAACAGTTAGACAATAATGTTTTATCATATAAACTAATTTCATAAGTGGCAACTTCTTACAAAGGTATATAATCATCTATTGGTAACAAAAATTCTCTACTAAAAATAACAGTTTGACAGTATTTGGGCTACACTTCAAGAATACATTTTAAAACATATGCTTTAGTAAGACTCATTTTTGCACCAATGCAATTAAAGAATTTTAGTGCTGCCTTGGCTGGTATGGCTCAGTGGATTGAGCGCAGGCCTGTGAACTGAAGGGTCACCAGTTCACAGTCAGGGCACATGCCTGGGTTGCAGGCTAGGTTCCCAGGAGGGGGCATGCGAGAGGTCACCAGTCCCCATATCTCTCACACATCTGTGTTTCCCCTTCTCTCCCCTTCTCTCTCCCTTCCCCTCTAAATAAATAAATAAATAAATAAATAAATAAATAAATACGATAAAAAAAATAAGATAAAATGACACATATAGTTCATTTAAAAAATTTTAGTGCCAATTACTCTACGTTTAATTTTATTTGAAATATAAATAATTATAGTTTCAAATGAAGACAAAAATATTCTTAATGTTAAGGCACATTTTAAAATAACTCATTTAATTTAAAATATAACTCAATATTATCAAAGTGAGCACAGTCATAATACAAAAATATCTTAAACTGATCAAGAAAAACTGATGTTTCAGTGTAGGATTAGGACTTACTCTTCAATACAAAATGAATCAAATAATAATATGAATAAAACAGGGTTTGTACAGAGTAAAGTAGAATGCTGTAAAATTTAAGAAAAATATTTTTTAAATTACATTGCAAAATTGGTCTTTATCCTTGGATAAATTTAGGTATTTAGTTTCTAGCAATTTTTTGTAAACTACAATGAGGTATCGAGGAGAAAAGAAATTAATTTTAGGAATTAAAAAAAGTATAAGGTTTGAGATGAAATTGTTAAAAAGTATTTGTCTGCCCCCCAAAATTTCTTCTCTGTCGTGACAATATTCTAACTTTCTAACCCTAAATATTAATTTCTTTAATTTATAAAGAAACTAGACTGGGTTACAAACACTGCAATAGCTGTTTTCCTATATATGTTATGAGATGAATTTAGGTAATGAGTATATTATTGCAGATGATGTTCTAATAAGCTTTTAAAGAAATAAGTGAGAAAAGAAACAATGATTTTACAGACAAAAAACAAACATGGCATGATTTTACTAACATGGAAGAAATAACTTACTTAAAAAAGAAGAACGGAGTTTTTTCACAGATTCAGAATATAAGCTAGTAAAGCCGCACATGCAAGAAGTCACAATCAGCGTACCTTAGTGAAGCAATGAAAAGGGAAGGAGAGAAAAGCAGACAAAGATACTAGAATGGTATGGCTGGGACAGTTTCTGCTGAAGACAACGAGTGACAAAATAATTACACATACAAAAAAAATAAATGGGGGAAAATTCAACCAACAAGATAGTAACACCATCACCTTTTTCTTCTCTCAGGAACTGTGACACAGGTGGTATTAGCCAATAATCTCCAGAGAGCAGCTGAGAAAATAATCTCAGACAGAACTTGAGTTCAGGGGGACTGAGTTTACAGACCAGAGCTGCCCAGTGTGCCAGTGTCCACCGCCATTCTGCAAATGGGTTCAGTCAGCCCAAGACGGGGTTCCCCTCAACCCCTGGCTCTGCAGGGCAGACTGGAGCCTGCAGGCCTGTTACTGCTGGAGGCCTCTTTACTTTAGGCCTCTGTGCCCGAGATCCAGCGCGATTTTCCGTGTGAGCCAGGAGGTTAAAGGGGGGAAAAGGTGAGTGCTGGTAGAGACAGCTAAGTATACATGTGTTCATGAGGTATCAGTATTAAAACATTTAAAATGAACACTAATCACTTAGCAAACACAAAAGAATTCTATGAAAAGAATGGATCTGGGTTTGCACTGAATCAGGCTATGTGAGAACACTGAATTTTCACAGAATTGAAATTCACTTTTGCATCTACTTTTGCACATGGAAAATGATTCTTTTTAAATTAAATCACTAAAAAATTGATTGTGGTCTCACAACACTGAACAAAAAGAGGGACAAAACTTTGAAGCAAACTTTTGTTCTACAGTGAAGCAAATTTCCTTGTCATGATTTAGATAAAGAAATTTGATTTGTATTCTTTCCCAATGTTAAATAAAATCCTAGAGTATTAAAAACAAAAGCAAAATCTAATAATAATACAAAACAAAACAAAAAAAGAAGCTCAAACATTTCCCTAGTTTTTGACAGTTCATGTATCAGACTAAATCACACAAGCTATTTACCTATCTGAAGTACTTACATTCACAGAAGCAACTAAGCATTTACGGAAATCTTATAACTCGGGATTTTTCTCTTTTTACCTCCAGAAGGCTGTCGAGATTTCCGAGGAGACCTGGGTTCCCTCCGATAAGGGTCATTGGAGCCATACAGTTCAACAGTGCCCAGGTTGAGGAGGACTGCTTTCTGGAGGTAGTCAACCATCGCAATGCCATTACAATTGCCAAAAACTACCCTGGAATAGGAAAGAGAAAATATTTTAGCACAGATAATAATTACAAGATAGTGTAGTCTGTAACAGACTAAAAGAGAAGCATGATAGGTCTTAGAGAAAATTCCTCTCTGAACAAAAAACTATCACAGACATAAAAATATAGGTTACATATGGCATGTCATGGAACTGTGTAGATTTTTTGCAGACATTAATGATTACAATCAATATCATTTAAAAAATCTGACATAGGATTTGCGATTTGATCAGAGGCACAACTCCCTAGGCTAAGCAACATCTAATTCTGAGACTCTCAGGGGAAGGTATTCCCTTCCACTGGGACGGCGGGGGACTGTATCTTCAAGACAGTTTTGGTCAAGTATGAATGAATAAACTTTATTCCTTTAAGATCCCTTAAGCAAGGAGTAGAAATCTGAAATGTACAGAGGGGCTATATAAATAAGTGAAACAGGCAGGTAAGGGCAATGGTGACCTGCACAGTGCACAACACAGCTAAAGAGGGAAAATGCCAACTTGGTTCCTGCTGACTTTTGCCAACGAGAACAGAGACGCAGTTCAGATAATTCAATTTTTCAAGTGAAAACTCTAAATATGGATTTTCACATCAAATAATCTTGGCAACTGGTTCAAATTTAAAAAGCACACAAAACAAAATACAACTGTGAGCCAAATGAGGCCTGTGATGAACTGACTTGCAATTTCCTTGGAAACTTCCTATGTTTTCTTTTTCTTATTCCGTTTGTTTCCTTTATGGCTGTGGGCAGTAAAATATTAAAAAGAAGAAGGTCCGCGTCCTGACACTGTGGGACAGCACATAAACGACATGAAAGAAAACAATCTGAGTCCACAGGCGGTCTTAGTTGGGTGCTCGACTGCAGTAGGCAGAGAAGGTGGTAACAGCCACAGGAGAAGCAGCGGATGAGTGAGTCCCCAGGCCAGACGAGGAAGGAGAGAGACAGCAGCCCACACAAGAGAAACAGCTCTGGAATCAACAGTTAGCATGTGGTTTCTCTATAACACAATGCTGATTTTAAAACAACATAAACATCATAATAAAAGTATGTACAATTAACACTATATACTTGAAGGCATGAATTAATAAGTGTACCTGTACTGCAGATGAATAATTCCTTAAACTATTACTATGTTTGTGCAATCTACTATGTTTGTACAAGTTAACTGTGAATCAGAAAGAACAAATTATACAGCTATGGTAGACCACGTATAGATTGAGCTTAGCACACAGTCTTCCAGGATGACATTGTTAGATGCCCATTTACCTGTTTATAATAGGAAATTATTGCTGAAAGTGTATCCAGGAAAGGATATAGTGGCTTTAAACCTTTATGTCAAATAACTCACTGGTCTGTGAGTCATCTGACTTAATACCAGGATGCAAAATAATCATGCACAGAATAACTATTTGGAACAGAATTATGTTCAAATAAACACTAAATCTGATCTGAAAGTAAAGTTACATAACTTCTGAAATGATACTATAATCATTCCTATTTTCAAAAATAAAAAAATGGATGAGATACTAAGAGGAGACTGAGAAACACGTAAGTTACACTTACAGTCCGTACGAGGAGTTGACTGCCAGACTGGTTATCTGCTGTGGCGGCTCTCCACCTACCCACACCAACTGAATGACCAGTTCTGTCTGATAGCCTGGCGACTGTTTGAGCGGTGAATTTTTAACTCTGTAATAAAGGGAAACATGTTACTTTTTATATCTTATTAGCCTATGTAATTACGGAATCATGCATAAATAACTATAAAAAATAACTTTGTATATGAAATTGTACTACATATTTTAAAAAGTAAAAAAATCAGAATCCTATTCTCTAGAAGCATTTAATCTAGACACCAAATGTGTACATGAGTTAAAAAAAAAAAGAAATCAGCCCTAGTTGGTGTTACTCAGTGGATTGAGCGCAGGCCTGCAAACCAACAACCACGGTTCGATTCCCAGTCAGGGCACATGCTTGGGTTGCAGGTTGCAGGCCAGTTCCCAGCAGGGGATGTACAAGAGGCAACTACACACTGGTATTTCTCTCCCCCTCTCCTTCCCTTCCACTCTAAAGATAAATAAAATCTTTAAAAAAATAAGAGATTGTGTAATAAACTCCACATGTAGAATGGAGGGAGGGGAGGCCAGGGAGACGTGGGCAGGAAGGGCGGTGGGGGGAGGACAGGGAGGGCTGGGGAGAAGAAGGGGTAGACGCAGTCCCGGCATTAAGAAGAAGAAAAACAATGCAAGTTACAAAAGCGCACTTCAAACTTAAAAACATGGTTTAACTAAATAAAAACTGGCCAAAATCATAAGTTAAAGAATGAGGGAACAATGAAAAAATTATTTTTGTGTGACTTTTTCTAAAAAACATATCTTATTTTAAGGTAAGAACATTTATTTAGGTTTTTTCTAATTATATTGTATTGACTATGCTATTGCAGTTGTCCTCACTTTTCCCCTCTGCTCCCCTTCTCCCAGCACCCCCACTCCCTCTGGCAGTCCCCACACTTCGTTCATGTCCATGTTTCATGTGTATAAGTTCTTTGGCTGCTCCATTTCCTATACTGTACTGTACACCCCCATGGCTAGTCTGTAACCACCTATTTGTACTTCTTAATCCCCAAGGTGAGAACATTTTGATTGCACAGACTCTCCAAAAACTGTGCTTATAAAACATATACAACAATCTTGAGGATTCTGTCTTAGAGTGACTATGTATGGAAAACAGCAGCCAGACCACTCAAAGTTGAATCTCCTGACACCAAATTCAAGGGTCAGAACCTTTTTGAGTCATTTAGTTGGTACTCCTAGTGAAGAGGACCATGACACCTGAGGTATCTGCTAGATCCACTCTGGAGAAGAAAGAGGTCAGTACGTTGTCCAAATTTCAGGGTAAACGTGAGTCACTAAGGGTACCCTGGTCCCGAGTCACAGTCACGTCTGCCAGGCAGTGCACTCAGACCTGTCCATACACTGGCTGAGGCAGAAGTTCTGGTCTTTCCTAGGGAAATACCCACTACTCAGCTCCATCTCAAGACACAGATATACCGAGTAGCATTCATCTCCACCTGGGACAGCCTCTGCTCACATAAAGCGCAAGCCCAAGCCTCTGAGTACATACACTATTCTTCCCCTGTATGAATTAGGTGAGGTTCAACGAAGTGTCCACTGTCCCTCTGGCTTATTCAATGTGCTCATTAGAATAGATTCTCAAGAACAGCAACAGCCACTCAGAAACATTTTAGAAGTACATATGACTATATTGGAACTTTTAAGACTTAAGTGATGAAGACACACAAAACTTACAGAATTATTTTACCTGGTATGAAGAAACTAAAAAAGCTTTTAAGCAAAAATAAGCCAGCCAAAACTGGTCACACGATCCACACTGATAAAAAGTTAGACACTGGATCAAGAAATGACAGAATACTAAGATTTAAAAAACACAGAATGGGGAGTGGGTAGTAGGTGTTATGTTTTACGTCTACAATGATTACATTCTAGTTATCATTCTATTGTTTGGGATATATGTAAATCAATTTGTTTAATTTTATAGACAAGGTTTGAACCTTTATAAAAAGTTCCTTAGTTTATACAAACATTTTTTAAATGTCAAAATAATGTTTGGAGGCTTTGTGGTTTCAAAACCATTTCTGTTTGGACAAATGTCCTGCAAAAACACAATGAAAATACTTAAGCAAAAACAAACATAAAACTTTATTGGCAAAAGGAATAGGGGAAACATTTGTTTTTAAAATGTTTCTTCAAAAAAAGAAATCAGTAAGGCACAAAGGCATTTTGTATAAAAAACAAAAAAAATTTCAGTCTTAGTGATGGTGACATCATTCGGTTATAGTTCTGATTTTTAGAAATGGGCTTAAAACAATGTGAAGTTAATAAGTAATTGTTTACCTGAAGATTAGTAAAAGAAAAAATGAAGTATAACTCAAATTGTGATGAAAAGTCACTAATGAATATGAATATATGCATTCTACACAAAAATCTCACCAAAGTATGCTACAAAAATAAACCTCTAAAAATTGTACTTTATACACTAATAAAAATTAAATTTAATAAAAATCTGGAAAAATAAACATTGGCATCAGGGTATTAATGGAAACTTTACAAATTTACGTTTAAAGTGAAGTAGTACTGAGTAAGTAACCAAAGGGAAGAGTATACAGTAGAACTCTGTATGTGCAAGTCTCATTCTAACCACACATGGGCCAGAACCATAACAAAAAGGAGGTGTGAGTGTGTACACAGGAGAGAACGACAGAGGGGGACAGAAGGAGAGAGGAAAGAAACCCGAGACCCTTCTGAGAAATGCAGTTGCCTAACTTCAGTGCCTGGGCTTTTTCATTAAGATCGGCTTCTCATCCTGTGGCATTTTGTACTGGGCAACTCTTTGCTGTCGGGCACTGCCCCGGGCACTGTAGGATGTTCAGCTCTGCCCCTGCCCACGGGCACCAGATGCCAGTAGCACCCTCATTTCCGCTGGTGTGACACTAATAATATCTCCAGATATTGCCAAATGGTTCCTGAGGAGGAAAATCATCCCCATTTGAAAACTACTGACATAGAATGCACAATCTCAAATTTACATAAACATATAAAATTTTTTTAAGTTACACTATACTTTAAAAATAATAGCAATATAAAAAAACCTGCCTTATTTTCTGGGTGAATGCATTTTTTATTATACAGACATTCTCCACAGCAACTGTTCAACTACTATCCACCAAGAGAAGAGATTCTAACAGATTTGCAAGCCAAGCAGTACAAAGCATAATTCTTTAACAAATGCAGATTTCCCTCTTACTACCCTCTCTACCTTGAATCTGCCACAGTTTGGCTTTTGTCCCCTGTCAACACTCTTGTAAAGGAATCTGTGACATTTTCCATAACCACTGTTCAGTTTATTACCTTAACTGTCTTCTCCATAAATATATAGTACTTTTAATCACACTCTTCATAGAACTATTGATTGATTTTTAACTCTTCCCTCATTGTTTTGTTTCTCTGACATATTTAAGGCCCACACCCTTGGATAAAATTAACTATTAAATAATATAAATTGGACAGAAAAAAGAAAACTTTATCCAATTTATTCCTATATGAAAGCAAAATGTATCCAAATTTGGAATGCTATAATAAAGGCATTTAAATAATGATACTGTGGTGCTAGAGAAGATCCAAAAAAAAAAAAAAAAGACAAGTAAATGATTACAAAACAACCAAATCTCAAAAGACTGAATAAACACAATTTTTAGAATGGTAGAAAGCAGTCTAAATATACATTTCATCCACACACAAATCCAGACTAAAAACGATCAGTGGTTTAGAAGATGGAGCTGTAGATACAGAAGAAAGATCCATGCTAGTTCACTGTTTAAGGATCAAATCTTCATACTTCAGGGATAAAATCACAGAACACAATCCTGTTCCTCTTGACGCCACAGAAATAGAAATTGGATCAATTAGAGCAAAACAGACAGAGCTGTTCTTATGCCATTTTACTCCATCATGGAAAAATGTTACCATAGCTTATTAAGACACACAACTTATCTAAATTAAAAGGTAATTTCCAAAACATCTGTACTGTTTACTAACTTACTTTAAACAAGGGACATTATCCCGAAGGCCATCGGAGGAACTGCTACTGGTGGAAGGATGAGACTGAGGAGGGATGGGCTGAGGATTGGCGCCCCCCACTGGTGTTGGCAGGGGCGGTGCCTGTTCACCCTCCGGGGACTCCACATCATTTATCTCATACAACAATCGAACTTCAAGCATCTGTTGGAAAAATAAGAGCTTCTTTACTCCCAATAAATACGATTCACTTCTTTGCAGTTTATACACACATGTATATGTTAGGGGAAAGAACATTTTTAAAGGTAAAAATTAGCAAGATTTCTAAAGATAAGGATTTAGACACACAAAAAAAGTCTGACTCAGCTTTTGAAAAACAATGTGTATGTGTGCAAGTACATACACACTCACACCCAAACACACATTACAGTTTTAGAATTTACGGCAGTTTGTTAATACCAAACTAGAGTATGCTCATATTCAGCTTAGCTTTGTTTAAAGGAAACAAAGTATTTAAGGATTCACATGTTCAGTAAGATATACATAAACACATGGCATTTTTCAAAACAAGATAAATGGCAATGTAAATGCTGAGGTGATTTAAAAAATTCTAGACAAAACTGGCTGCAAATAATCTTCTAAATAATTCAAAAATTTTAAAACATCAGAAATCTGACATTGAAACAACCACAAGACCATTACCGGAATGACTTCTGTAATAACTTCTTGTTTGCTGAATCTGTAAATAATGACATGAGCTGACACCCCAGCTATGCAGAGCATTCTACTCTCTGGACACCAGGAGATGATCTGAATGGCATAGGGATCTTCATCTACAATCTCTGTGTTCGGCTTGTCGTCTTTACTTCTTGACTTTTCAAATACTTTAGCTGTCTTTAGTTTATACAGTACTTGAAGAGTTACTAGATAAAAGATATATATTAGGTAATTTAATACAAAAGTACCAATATAAGGTAATATTTAATTATTAGGTATTAAATATTAGGTAATTTAATACAAAGTACCAATTTAAGGTAATATTTAATTGGTTATACTATGTAAGAAAATAGTCTACGTTTATTTGAACCGTATTTTTATTCCTAGGTCTACATTTTTCTGTTATACTTTTAGATAATGCAACCATTGTACTCAATGACCAAAAAAAAGTATACCCATTATTCACTGTATTCATTTAAAAAAGTCATCATCATGATGAATTTAGATAACCTGAAAAAATGAGTAATAAAAAATGTTGTAAAAATGAATAAAAATAATAAATGACATTTTCTTCCTAATATGATTTTCTAATATTTTCTCTATAGAAGACGACAATGCTATTTCATCCTCTAGAAGATGAAATATATCCTGCATTAACTGAATTCTGAGTGCCTGCTATGTATGTTTTACAAACATTAGCCATTCGAAGCATTCTTTCCTTTTTTGCCATTACATAACCACTATAAATATTTCAAGAAGACAATACAAATTTGGGGGTATATGTTTAGAACCAGGCATTAAAATTATACAAATTTTGTTGATTTGAAACATATGCCTGCTTCTCCCATTTCTGAATTAGGAAAAGAAGGTTTGAAGAAATTTTGAAGAAAAGATTTGAGTACTTCTATTGAGAAGTACCCATGAATAGCCTGAAGAATATCTTTAATCTATTAAAAATCCTAAATTCACATACTTGATTAACAGGTATTATATTTATGCCTCCAAATTTCAAACTGAAATTTTGGTGCAATTATTATAATGCAGGTTGGTGATGCAATTATTATAATACAGGCTATATAAAAGCAATTATCCTATAACATACAACATTAATTAATAATAGTACTCAAAATACTTACTTGCAGAAGCATCCCAGAACTTAACGGACCCATCAGCATGCCTATGAAAAGCAAATGAATTAAGACTGTTATTAAAAATGTTTACATTTTTAGTTTCTTTGAAGTATATTGTTATTTAAAAAGACAGTCACCAAAATAAGGAAAAAGATAAAATTTAGGGCAAATTATCAGTTTACAGACAACAATTTATTTCTTATTATGTTTCAGCATAAAGGAAAGCACTATCTGCCCAATTAATTAATGCTATGGAGTCTTAATTATATTTAGCTATTACTGATTAACTTGGTGAAACAGACTTTTACTTACCCTGTAATAATTATTTCTGGGTAACTCTGAGCACCCAAACCCCAATTACCTCCATTGATGGGCCATTCCTGAAAGAAAAGATTATGGTATAGAGCAACTTCCAAACATATCGTGCATCTTTATGTATATCTATGGCAAGAGCAAACAACGTACTTCACTTCCAAAAAGGATTTTTCCATCTATTTTCTCTAGGAAAGGATTCAGTGTTATCAAACACTTCACGGCGACAGATACAATATGTTGACGTGTTCACGTAACTTTAATAATCAGACTCGTGTTCAATACCTTTTTGCTGTAACCTTGCCGTTTCTGTCTGACTCCAACAGAGTAAAGTGCGGGAATGAGGTCCACAGGACAATCAGCAAAATACTCGCAGCATGTGACAGGGGACTCGTGTATACTCAAAGGGTAGGGGTTTTCAAATATAGGGTAGCTTTAACAGCAAGAAAAGAAAATAGTCATTAACGAATTATTACCTATAATTAGTGCAATGAAAACTTAAAATAATAGCTTTAGAGTATAGAAAGTTTTAGTTTAACTAAAAGTCAATATCCTTTGAAGGTCCACATTTTATCTAAATTTATATTTTAACTTACTATGTTCTTTCTACAGAATTTTTGAAGTTACCTACATCTAGCAGGTTTAATAAATTAACATGCATATATGTATAAAATGATGTCTTTTATAATGACAGTTGCTCAATTAGAATAGTAAACAGAAAAGATGCAGTTGGTACTACATACCATATATATACCACACACTGGAATAGTGATTTATATATAGTTAACTAATTTATTCTTGCACCAAACTTATGATGTAGGCATTTGACTGAAGAATGAAGACTTAGAGCAATGTGCCAAAGGCACGCCAACAGCAAGAAGCAGCACAATTTAAACTGTGCTGTGAACCATTAAGTCATAAGATTCTCAGTTAACAGATACCTCATTGTTTTACCAGTAGCGATAACACGAATTTTCAATTCTCCTTTTCCCCCAGTATGAGTGTAATGTGTATTGCAGTATTTGATCTATGAATGCTCTCTTGTTTCAGTGATAATCTAAATAAAATTCTATCTTAAGTATTTTCTATTTATAAAATTATATTAAAGCAAAAAAATGCTTTCAAAAACCATAAAATTAAAGTGAAATTCTAACTAAAATACAATGATATTTCTTTCCTGGTTTTAAAGCCCATGGAAATAAGAATGATCACTTAAAAATATCTAGAAAACCAGAAACCAGCTAAAAAAGTCTATTCAGTTCACACTTAGCTAACCTGAAAATAATCAGATGTATTGATCAGTCTACTACTGGCAATAATTAAAAACAGAAAAAAAATATCAGGAAAGTCCTTTCTAGATCTCCAAAATGAACTCCACTGTCCTCACTCCCTTCTCAGCCACACATAAAAGAACAGAAGACAAAACTCAAACAAACCAACAGGTGCATTAAAAAATGGCAGGCGATTTTCAGCTCTTTATAAACACACTATATAATCCTTAGTTCAATAATTCTACCATTATTACAGCAATACATTCACAGGTTACCTGTACGATACTCAGGTTACTCGTACAATAGGTTACACTCACACCAGGTTACACTCACAGGTTACTTGTACAATATTTTCTTTAACAAATATATCCCAGTATAGAACACATGTGAAAATACCACTTTTTAAACTTATCTAAATAAAAAAATAAAACCATATTAAGAATAAGTTATTCTAGGACAGTTATTTAGAAAATAATGTTTTAAATTCCTTTATTCCGCAATGATATTGTTACTACCCCCCCCCAAAAAAAACCCCAATTGATTATTATAGCCAGCAAGTAACTAAGTTGATGTGAATTTAGGAATGCCTTAAAATGAGAGAAATAATACACTTCACTTACACTTCAGCGTTTCCCAGTCTCAGTACTGTGTACATTTTGGATCAGATCATTCTTTGTGAGGGAGTAGGTACTGTGGATGGTTAGCAACATTTCTGTTCTCTACCACTAGATGGCAGGATCACCCCCCTCCCCTCAATAAAGTGTCTATGCAGAAAGCCAATTAGCTCTTGGAGGACAAAATTGCCCCCAGTTGAGAAATACTGAAGTACTGAATGGGTAAACTCCATGAAAAACAATGATTATCTCTCAAGAGATACAAATAGATGATACAATGTTCTTCTATTCAAAGAACTTATAACTAAACATAGTACCTATGTCAGAAAAAGCAGAATATGGAAAACACAAAAAGTTGAAAAAGTTATGGTGGGAATTACAGGTTAGATATGATACATCTGGTTAAGAGAGAATAGAAAAAAAATTAGGAGAAAAGGAAGGCTAATTTTGAAAGTTACACAGATTTTGGTAGCAAGCAGAGTGTTTCAGCTACTGGAAACTATGTTAGAAAGGCACGGAAGAGTGACATTTGTGTAACACCCAGCTCCGTTTTCTAGGGAATGGCACCTGCAAGAAGACAGTGAAAAACCAGGTTGGAGAGGTAGCCTGCATTCCAACCGTGTATGACAGCAAGCAGGCCAACGCACTTTTACATCAAACAAGATGGAACCACTGTGGTTTGAAGAGCAGAGTGACAAGACTGGTGCTGTGTGTCTCTCAAATCAACCTGGCGTGGCATCCGTGACACACTGCCACCAGCAGTGAGTACGGCTGCAGAAACCACGAGAGCTTATCTGGAGGTACACTGTGTGATGGAGTCAATGCTGCACATGGTGACTCAATGTCCCCCAGGGTACCCGAGCATTAGACTGAATCACGAAATCTCAGAAATCCAACAAATTTTGACTTAAAAAATAGAAACTCTGTATGATCAGCTACTAGAGAAATTTGGTAGGTAGAAATGTGCACCTGGAGTTATAAAAAGAGGCCAAGGTTATAGATATTAAATGTAGTGTTTTCAAAAATGAATGCTACAAAAATCTTTTTTTATCACATACTAAAACACTTGCTTGTCAAATTTTATTTCTTACCCATTTTGTGCAAGGTCTATAAGTACTAAATCCTTTTCTAGAAGAACAACTACAGCATATGGTTCCTGAAAATCTGGAATAAGAAAACAATACACAAATAGTTTTACATATGCAGAAAGAAAAATATTAAATAAATATTAAAGAAGGCAGCAAATTATATATATTTTGTGGGTTTTTATTTTGTTCCATTTTCTCACAAATTTAGAATCATCTTGTATTTAATGTAATTTAAGGTAGTATTTTCTAAATGCAATAAATCTGTATAATAACCTATACAAAATTATTTCAGTTTTGTAATAGTGAGCAAGACAAAAAGCCTGTGACTTCTATGGTATTGCAAATTAAAAGGCAGCACATGGCCAACAAACTCAAAATTTAAATCCAAATACACATAAGAACTCTCATTATTGGATATGTTAGAAACCCAGTGGAGTACTATTTTAATATTACATAGTGTTTATCTTGGATACTTTGTATGTGCCTGCTAACTATTAAATGCATTGCACCGTTACATCTCAACTAGCTTCAAATGAAGTAAAAAAGATCCAGATTTAAATTCCCCTAAATCTTATGCAAGCTGTGATGGTTAATTTTATGTGTCAACTTGTCTTCCCTGTGGTGCTCACTGGTTTGGTCAAACATTAGTCTAGATGTTGCTGTGAAACTATTTTATTTAGATGTGATTAACATGTACATCAGTAGACTCCAAGAAGATTATCCTCAATAATGTGGCTGGACCTCATCTAGTCAGTTGAAGGCCTGAACAAAAAAACAAAGCTTCCAGGAGAAAAACAAAACAATTCTGCCTTCAGACTCAAGACTGCAGCATTTGTGCTTTCCTGAATTCTCAGCCTGCAGGTCTGCTCTATAAATGTTAGACTTACCAGCTTCCACAATTACATGAACCAATACTCCAAATTCTCTGTCTGTATTTATACCTGTCTCCAATGCTTTGAGCTTTTCTGTAGAACCTTGACCAGTGTACTAGTATTTTACAGAATATTAAAATGTTTCTTTTCTATTTTAAAAAATATTTTATTGATTATGCTATTATGGTTGTCACATTCCCCCCCCTTAATTCCCCTCTGCCCCACACACTGCCTCCCACCTGCATTCCCCCCCTTTAGTTCATGTGCATGTGTCATACATATAAGTTCTTTGGCTTCTACATTTCCTATACTACTCTTATCCTCCCCCTGCCTATATTGTACCTACCATTTATGCTTCTTATTCCCTGTACCCTTTTCCCCATTCACCCCTCTCCCTCACCCCACTGATAACCCTCTACGTGATCTCCATTACTGTGATTCTGTTCCTGTTCTAGTTCTTTGCTTAGTTTGTTTCATTTTTTAGGTTTGGTTGTTGATAGTTGTGAGTTTGTCATTCTACTGTTCATATTTTGATCATCTTCTTTTATCTAAGTCCCTTCTTAAAGGAACTTAAATAAGTCCCGTTAACATTTCATATAATAAGGATTTGGTTATGATGAACTACTTTAACTTTGACCTTATCTGAGAAGTACTTGATCTGCCCTTCCATTCTAAATGACAGCTTTGCTGGATAGAGTAATCTTGGATGTAGGTCCTTGCCTTTCATGACTTTGAAGATTTCTTCTCAGCCCCTTCTTGCCTGTAAGGTTTTTTAAGAAATTAGCTGACAGTCTTATGGGAACTCCTTTGTAAGTAACTCTCTCCTTTTCTCTTGCTGCCATTAAGATCCTCTCCTTATCGTTAATCTTGGGTAATGCGATTATGACATTCCTTGGTGTGTGCTTCCTTGAGTCCAACTTCTTTGGGACTTTCTGAGCTTCCTGGACTTCCTGGAAGTCTATTTCCTTTGCCAGATTAGGGAAGTTCTTCTTCATTATTAACAAAGTTTTCAACTTCTTGCTCTTTCTCTTCTCCTTCTGGCACCCCTATGATTCAGATATTGGAAGGTTTAAAGTTGTCCCAGAGGTTCCTAAGCCTTTCCTCATTTTTCCTAATGTGGGTAGTTTTGTTTATCTTACAAAGGCACTTACTACTAACAGGTGATACAACAGAATTAACTTCTGAAATAAAATTTGCAAAGTTATAAAGGCAGCATCTCTTCCCAGAAGAATGAGCACAATACATTAAGGAAACTACTAAGATAACATATAGGCCTTAGTTCTGAATATAGATATCTGGAGAAAATGAGCTTTAAAGATGCAAAGCTTACCATTTGGGTATGGTGTTTCACATAACGTTAGGAAATCAACAATTGAGTAGTCCATTTCTAGCACAGCAGTACTTTTCCCGTGCATAACTGTTAAGCAAGGTCTTCTTCCTACAGTATCATATGACAAACCTCCTGACAAAATAATAAAAGGTTCCCTGGAAATAAAATACACAGGATTATAAACAGCATGGTGAAGACTAATTATTTTCCTGCTATATCATAAATGTTTTACTTACTGAAATAATCAAAACTTAAATTCTACATTTTTATGCATCATTTACTTTAATGTTTGCATGTGGAATTTGTAAGTGCATTAGTAAGACCCATGTAAAGTCCTGAAAACTAACCTGTAATAGGGATGAATGTTGAGCACATTTCATTCTCCAACTTCCTCTTGGCCCCTAAAATATTTTCTCTTATCCTCTTTATAAAATTGTTAAAAGATTCTTCTTGGATTTCTGCTGCTAAGTCTATTGAATGGACTTCCTTTTATCCAGTCTTATTAGCCAAGCCTTCCAAAAAGGATTGCTAATGCCCTAAGGCATCCATTGTACATAATGAATTAAATTATTACCGATGCAGCAAGAATGTACTAGCTACAAATCACCCTTGAAAAAGCTGAGAAAACAGTCACTCAAATCACTTCTGTAAGGGTTAATTTTCTCCTGGAACCTTTGCTGGTTGGCTCTCAAACCACAGTTACCATGTACATCACTCAGCTGCCCACTTGCCACTTCTAATGAGCCCCCAACTGTCTCCCTGTTAGTCATTATTAAATTTAATAATTTTTAGATCCACTTTTTAAAACTGCATATTTAAATATGCAAAAGAGAAAAAACTAAAAGTGTTTTTATGTTCTGTATTTCTTTACCTTCAACTTGCCTATTCATGTTTTCTGTTCATGTTTTAGGAAAAAGATTAGTAATCCTTTTCTGACTGATTTGTAAGAGGTCTTCGTTTTGTAAGAAAATTAGCTCTTGTTCTGCCTTATGTGTTTTCACTTGTTGGTGGGATGTTATTTATGGTACAGTATACAGATGATTTTAAGTGTTTTGTACATGACTGTTTTAAGCCTCTTAATTCATGACTTTTAGGTAGTTCCTTGGTGCTTACTCTGTGGCCTGTATGTCCACCAGCTTCCTCTTCACATGCAGCACCAGCCGTATGGAATACTACGTAAAAGACGTGCTGGAACTAATAACACGCCTGCATTTCTAATCTCAGCTTTGGTTTTACTTTCTGTGTGATCTTGGACAAGGTACTTAACTCCTTTGTGCCTAGCTTCTGAATCTACAAAATGGAGACGGAGTGGTAAGTGCCCTCAGGCAATTACTGAATTAATTATACATGCAGAGCACTGGGGTCGATGCCCGCACACAGTACACCCTCAGTAAGAATTACCTAACGTTACTGTCATAGTACAATAATCATTATCACCCCTGTAAAAGGTCCCTTCTTGTAATATTTGAGGGAGATTGTAACTTCTCAATTATATTTATTCTGATCTAAAACAATAAATAAAATTCACCAAAATTTACTTAGAGAAGCAGTAGTACAGGTGGGTAATTTATAAGTAAATATAAACATTAGGTCAAATAATTCAATTGTTTTTTACGTTTAAACTGTTTTTTATATTTACACACTGTACCTATTTAAAATACATAAAATAATATATTGTGTATGTGCTTGTATTTTCTTACTGAAAAAATGTACCTTCATGTAGCCCTGTTACCCTTTAGTATTTTTTCACAGTGTTTATTGCTAAAAATAATTTATTTTGCATATTGCTCATCTCATGAAAATGTAAGTCCATTGGCCCTGGCTGGTATAGCTCAGTGGATTGAGCGCGGGCCTGCGAACCACACGATCGTGGTTCAATTCCCAGTCAGGGCACATGCCTGGGTTGCAGGCCGGTTCCCTGCAGGCCAGTTCCCAGCAGGGGACGCACAAAAGGCAACCATACATTGATGTTTCTCTCCCTCTATCCTTCCCCCTCTTCCCCTCTAAAGATAAATAAATAATAAAAAATATAAAAAAAAAAATGTAAGTCCATGAGGGCAAAGGGTTTGTCTGTTTCATTCACTGCTGTACCCGAAGTAGTGCTTCAGAGGTAAATAAATGAAGTAATAGGCAAGTATGTTATCCTAATCACTGTCTAGCTCACTACCATTTACATCTTTCACCACTAAATCCATTTCGGCAGTCTTATTTTCACAGTGACAGTAAACCAGAACTTAAAATTTTGTTTTTGCTCTCATTTTGTAATTCTTTGAAAATGGTTATAATATGCCAAATTCTATCGAAATACTAGACTGGTTGAGGAGATCTGATTTTTCTGCTTTTGGTTTTGTTTTTAATTTTTAAAATTTAATTGTTGTTCAAGTACAGTTTTCTGTTTTTTACTCCCATCCCAGCCTACCCCCTCAGTGTTCCCCACCTCCCTCCCATTTCCACCCCCCTTAGTTGTTGGTCCATGTGTCCTTTATACTTGTTCCTGTAAACCCTTCCCCTTTTCCCCTAAAATTCCCTCCCCTCTCCCCTCTGGTCACTGTCAGCCTATTCTCTATTTCAGTGACTTTGGTCATATTTTGCTTGCTTGTTTGTTTTGTTGTTTAGGTTCCTGTTAAAGGTGAGATCATATGGTACTTGTCTTTCACTGCCTGGCTTATTTCACTCAGCATAATGCTTTCCAGTTCCATCCATGTTGTTGCAAAGGGCAGGAGCTCCTTCCTTCTTTCTGCTGCAGAGAATTCCATTGTGTAAATGTACCATAATTTTTTGATCCATTCATTTACTGACGGGCACCTAGGTTGCTTCCAGCTCTTGGCTATTGTAAATTGTGCTGCTATGAAAATTGGGGTGCATAGGTACTTTTGGATTAGTTTTTTGGGGTTCTTAGGATATAATCCCAGCACTTAAAATTCTGTCCTGAATAGCACTCTACCCACACTTTCACTGTTCCAATGTCTCTGCATACTACAGTCATCATGACAAGTCTGGTCCGGAAAGAGTATTTAACTTCCTCCACTTTTTCTCACATGTAATGGATAAACAGAATATATCTTCTCTCTTTTGTACTTTGAAATACAGCATACAACTGAATATAAAATACTATAAAGAAGGGTGAAGTGTCCCAATTAAAACTTTTACACAGTGGGCAGACTCAGCCAGGTGTTTATTACTTAATAGTTTAAGAACAGTCTGATAAGTGTTTTTACATATAGCCAATTTAAAAAAACAGGTATTATTAATTTAAGAACCATGAATAAGGAGATGCTGATTTAACATTACTGAACAAAATTTCCATGGAGACACTGGGTAGGAATGGTAGGTTGTTCAGTTAAACTGTGAACATGGTATTAAATAACACCAGAGCAATTAGGTAAGTTTACTCTCCAATGGCACATAAGTGTTCAGTGGCTTTGCAAACTGGCTAAACTTCATTACTAAACTCAGGAGAAAAAATGTACAACAAAAATATTGATAAGAAGTTGAAAGATATATGAAGATTACATTCTTTTTCATAATAGTAAGTTTTCCTAATCCATCAATGAATGCATATATGTATATTTTAATTTTTTTAAATTTTATGTCCTGTTTTAAAAAAATTTATCTAAGTTTGCCAAGGCAGGAATCACCTATGAACGTCCAGAGGTTTTATTTTTTCATAATAATTCCCCAAACTCTATACAGTAAATATTCATGAAGTAAATATTTTATAAGAAATTAGTCATAAAGAAAATAAAGTGAAATATTTTAATACTAGACAGTAAAATTATATAATTCAAAGTACTGCTGGCATGTGGAATTACATTAAATGTTCTAGGAATCTAGTTTATTTCTAGGGTAATATGCAAATTACTGAGGTAGGGAATTTATTTTCTTTTTTTTAAGTGAAAGGTTAAACTTTTTGATGTTCCAATAAAGTCTAGGAATAATATGGCTTTATTCCATTCCTTTAAGTAGAATTTAAATAGAAATCCTTTTAATGATGTTGGCTGTTACCCGAGACCTTCATTTTTGAAGACAGGAAGGTTAGCAAATTATTAGTTTGGACATTTTATAATTTTGACTGGAATTTGTAAGAGGCTAGACACTTGGGGGAAATGTATATGCTTCCTTCATTGATTAACCTCCTCCACCTGACCTTGGCAATAGTTTTGGCTGAAGTTGTTTCTATGAGAAGCGTTCTTTACTTAAAGGAGGCACTGCTCCCCAAAACGCCTTTAGTATAACCAATTCGCTCAACTGGGTTCTATTAACACTACCCATTCATTCGCTTAAATTTTTTGAGCACCTTTATCGATAAGAATAACATAGTGTTCTCATGTCTAGCCTAGACAAATGGTTCACATATTATAATAAGTGCTATGAAGAAAATAAAACAAGGTAAGAGTCACAGGCTGAAAGGGAAGGAGGAGCGTTACAGTGAGACAGTGGGCAGGACAGGCCTCTGTGGTAAAGAGACATGAGCTGGGACCAGAATGAAGAGGAGCCAGACAGCCAAAGCCCTTGGGTTGGGGGAAAAGGGTGGACTTCCCAGCAGAAGCAATAAGCCCTGCAGAGACGCCAAGTCAGGGACGAGCTTGGTGTATCTGAGGAACTAGCAGGCCGGTGTCCCTGCAGCACAGTGAGTGAAGTAATCCGCGGTTATACATGGTTTAACCCCAAAGAAGAGCCTTCCTCCTCCAGTGGATGTCCACAGTTACTTTACTTCTGGCCTTAATAACCTGCTGCTTATATTATTACAATAGCATCTGCACAAGTTATTCACTGCCGCAGGTAGATTTCCCCCCATTTTCAGTTTCGGTAATTCCTATTTCTCCTTTAAAACTCAGTGCAATAATTACCTCCTCAGAAAAACTTCTCAACCCATCTCTCCTGAATGAGTTGGGTGCCTTCCTACATTCCTAAGTGGCATCTGCACACCCCTTTTCAGTATTTACCAAATCAGTTGTCATTGTTTATCTACTTTCCCTCTGTATCATGAGCTCCTTCAGATCACAGAATGTATTTTTTACTTCTGCACTCGCCTGGCCTTAGGTAGGTATCCCAGAGAGTGCTGGTCAAATATACTATGTCTGTCTAAAAAAGCCCAACCATTGTTAATATAGAGAGAAGAGTTTTTAAAATCTATAGTAGTAAAGTACACAGC